GGTTATCAAAGGTTTAGAAACATAATTTAGATTTAGAAGGGGGGGTCGGAGGGGTCGTCTAGACTAAAATCTAGACGAGGGTGTTTCCCATCAAATTGTGGCGCTCATCCAATTTGTTATATCGGCATCGCTCGGCATCTCTGATTTAGAAAATAATCTATGTTTCTAAATGCTGCGGGAAGTCACCCAATATTATATCCAAGAGAAGCGCTGCTATAATACTTAGCAACGTAGAGCAGCTTTCCAACAGAACAGTTACGGAGTTTGTATACGGCTACTGCCACTCTTCCGTATCATGGATGTTTTGGTTGCAATCATACCTTTCCCAGACTCTACACCCTGGCTCTCATTTTGACGACAGCAAGACCTGTCGTCCATTCCTTTACCGGAAGCGCTATTTCTTTGGGCTTTTTTCAGCTGGTCTCTGAAATGCTCAGCGTCCTTATTTATTGACTAGATGGGACTGCTGTGCCTCTCATCGACCTCTATATTGCGCTGTGAATCACTTACCAGGATTCAATATGTGGTTCTCGTAATCCCTTCGGCCCTGGAAATTATCTTTTCGACCTCACTTATTTTCACTAATCGCGGCTCGGGTCGGTGAGTATCAATTTGTGATCGTTGTCCATTTGTGAATGACAATACAACTGTAGGCGACACCTGTTGCTTACTGCTGAAGGGTGGTTGTACTTGACTTTGACAATCCTGGATTTGATTTCTCACATACTACCTGCTGCGCGGGATAACCTAAGGACGTTTGAAATCATGGATATTGTCGTAGGTAAGTTGGAGCGATCCTCTCAGTTGCTGGGACTCGGAAGGTCACCGAAACCCATCTCTCTAGCTGCTATGTCGTCACTTCCAATATTATTATACACCGCATTTCTTTTTCTCTTCACCAACGCTGAGCTCCTCGAGTCCCTCCCGAGCCGTTTTCGAAAAATCGCAAAGCCCTTGCTATTATTTTTCATTCCTGCCATAATCATGCTCAATGAACTGGCATCCCTGTTCGGCATAACACGTCGTGGTTAGTATATTTTGATTCTATTGAGAGTCTTCTATTGATCTCTGTTTTCAGCCAACGACGCTGGCATTTTTATCGGCTTTAAGAGCGACCGTGATCGTGACCTGTGGACATTTTTCACCAGCATAACACTTGCACTTTTTACCGTGTACCAAGCAATCAACTTCTGCCTTGTGTTCTTTCGTCTCGTGAATGCTTTACGAGGGCAACGGGATTTTGAAGCCTCGTCCTCAGATCAAGCTTATTTGTTTAGGGGAATTTGCTGGATTTCTGGAGGTCTGAAGCTGGGTGTTATTGAAACAGTTGTAGGGTTTGCGCACACGGGGTTTTCTGGCGCTTTGATTCGTCGAGTGTTCAGATGCTTAGCGAGAGCTTGCTTATGCATTGGAGTTGCCAACGGGTGAGTATCCATCATGTTCAATTTATGCGGATTCCTCTGACTATTTCCAGTTTGGATACTGTCGAGGATTTTGCACAGTTCCAAGCTGAATACAGACGTCCAGGAAATAAGAACGAGAAGCGTGGCGACTCCCATTTCAGAACTCTTATCTCCAATCCTCAATTGGGTACCTTTCGTCAACTGTCCCCTTCCGCGACCGAGTTTCATGTAATGCCCCGGGCCTTAGGAAGAGGTATCGGGCCTCGGGCTACTTCTGGTCTCTCGGGAATGAATGAAATGAATTCACTCAAGACCCAACTTCCAGCACAACGTGTTACCATCGACTTTGCCCAAGGTGCCCCATCGTTGAACATGCGACCCTTTTCTTCACTGGATATTTCCAGCCCCATCACGCTCGTAACTTCCCGGCACGGCGTAGATGGGTCTTCCTCAGGAGGTAACTCCACATCTTCATCCAATAATTCAGTGAGGAGTCGTTCCTCCGGCATGGGCCCCAGAGGGTCAATTCCCGATTCTTTCCTTCCCCAAACACTAAGCGCAGAGGCCAGCACAGATTCTTTGCACGCGGTTCATGAGTTAGTGCCCCAATTTCCGGCATTACCTCCACGGGCAGTTATTGAACAAAATTCTTCGATCCCCGTCCCAAGAAGAAGATCCAAGAGAAAAGTTAGTGGGCTCGTTCCTTGGCCAGAGATGGACGAAGAATTTTCGACAGATCGAAGGACACCTGTCGCTTCTCCGCTGCAATCACGAAGCACAAGAAATTATTCCCTTCCACTTTCGATTGAAACTGCAGATTCGGATGGCTATACCTTCGCCAGTACTCCAAGAATAACCATTAGATCAGACCTCTCTACTCAGCAAACGACTCCAGCCACAGATGTCCCCTCCATCTATGAGCCTGACGTAGGGAAGACTCGGGATGAGGTGCATAGAAGATCGTTACTTCGCCCTCGGAACATCTCTAGTCAGTGGCTCGAGTCGTCGACAACTGAGGGAGTGGAACGGTATCGACGGCCAAGCACAGTGTCTTTCATATCGTCACCCACAGTCATCCCGCCTCACACGCAGCATTATAAGCGAGACAGCAACATTTCAAGGACACATAGTCTATACGAGGAGACAGATATCGTGTTGCGGCGCTCGTTGAACAGTGGAGAAGATCCCTTCGTTGGTGAGAGGTACAAGGAGCAACTGTCGTCGTCCTCTGTGACACAGATTAAGGGTGTTGGGAAGATGACTAGGAGATACACCCCGACACCTGTCTGGGGAGAAACAAGAGGCAGCATTTATATTGAGCCAATCATGATCCCTCCCAAGACAACTAGGATTTCTAATGTACAGATTATTCAAGGAGATGACGATGGGAGGGACTTCACCAGTAGTGGCAGGGCTAGCACGGATCGAAGAATGTCTAATTCCGAAGTGCTAATAATTTGAAGGAGACTTTGGTACACTTCGATACGTTTGCGTTTTTCGTACTCGTCTTTGTCGTAGCAATGCAAGTAATGTACTTGTGTAGTCGCCGATAGTCGACGCGGCCTTTAGCCCATCATGACAAGCGCTTGCCTTACAAGTATTTTATCCTGGGCCACCGTGGTTATTACGACTTTCCAATGGCGACTCCAGATATACTGACGACCGTACCGCCATCGCATACTCACCACGATGAGCCAGCTACAGATCCAGAATTGAAGCTGCCCCAATTGCCGTCTCTCGTTATCATCATCACTGCGAATGTTTTGTTACAGGTTCGTTCTCGGTCCTTGCAATGAAACACGCTGAAATGCTTTAGATCTCTTTCTTCATCATTGTATCGTCGTCCAACGATTATGCGATCCATCTGGGAGGAAATTCTACGTTCTCTGGTGTGGTCATCGGCATACCTACCGTCTTCTCTGCAATTGCATTAGTGCCTTTGTTGAAATACGATGGAGGTGCGTTTGGAAGAGTATTATAGCTCTGCCACTTATCCTTCTGTCTTCTCAGGAGGGTACCGGTTGCCCCTGAACGTTAGTTGTGCAGTATCCATCGTTGGACTCCTTCTGTACGCTCTGGCATACCCAGTGGACTACCTCTACCTCATCCTCCTTGGCCGTATCGTCAATGGCATCGGCTTCTCCATGTGGATGTACTGCAAACGCTATTGCTCAGATCCACGCATCGTCGGGGTCCGCCGTCGGACAACGTTAGCCAGCTGGCTCGTCATGGGACAAGGAGTGGGAATGACCCTTGGTCCGTTTGTCGGTGGACTGCTATACAAGGAGGTTGGCTTCACAAACAAATGGTTCAACGGGTTCACGAGTCCAGCGTGGATAATGGTCGGTATCTGGGTAGTATTCTGGGGAGCGGTGCAAAGATGGTACAAAGATCCTGTTAACGATCAGCCCAGAGCCGGAAACAGTTCGGTAGAGCAGGATGCAGAGGACATTCCGATGACTGTGATGTCCTCATCTGAAAAGACCCCCTCGCGGGCAATGTCGCATCCTCCGTCAACGTCACTGGCTTCCCGACACCATTCCGTACCTGCCTCACCAGTTCCGTCATTCCTCCCTCCAGCTCGCCGACGACTTTCCTCGTCTCAATGGGGTGTCTCCGTGTGCATGTGCTGGTTCGCCATGACCTGTTTCTTCATACTTGGAGCCTGGGAAGCCAATATACCGGTGTTTGGTTCTTCCTCAGCCTCCAACTTGAACTGGACGCCATTTTCCTCCGGAAATTATATCGCTCTTGGCGGTCTGACGACATTCCCATTCCTCCTGCTTAATGTCATATATGCTCGCCGTTACCAAGACCGGACCACACTAGCGATCGGTACTACCATTGGGATGATGTCGCTTGTAGTCTTTATTGCATTGTTGGTGGCAACTGATGATCACGTTCATGCTACCGCTGTGGTGGTATGTTGGTGGGCGGTTGCTCTTGGGTTCAATCTGGCAAGCACGGTCACGTTGAGCTTGTTGAGCAAGCAGACACCGGGAGATTGGAATAATTGGACTTCTCTGGCGATTCAGTATAGCAATTACACGGGGAGGGTTACAGGTGCTGTTTGGGGAGGAAGTGGCGTAGTTGTCGGAATGGCCAACTATGTTGGACTGGAGATTGCGCTGGTCGGTATCGGCGGTGTGCTGTTCACCTCATTTTGGAAGGATCTCAAAGCAAAAGTCGGCTGATATATAGATTAAAGTGCCATCACTGCAATTATCTCAGTTTTGCTTTGCGTATTCTTCAAAAAAACTGTTCAACCAAAGAACTTCCGAAGATGAGGCCCAGGCCAGATTTCTTTGATATCAAGGCTGGATATCTGCGCGGAAGGCAAAATGGTAGCTAAAAATCAAGATGCCAAGTCGAATCGTCGAAGTACGAGAACGGAATACCATTCGAGCTATACCACCACATCTAAGAATACCTCCTTGAATATATCATAATTTCCTCGTCCTTTGCTGTAAACTGCAAATGTCACTTTCTTGTACCACCCTTTGAATTCATCCTCTAAAAGAATGCTCCTCATCTCTTTTGCCACAAGAACCGGCGGACAGTTGTATGCCCCACAGCCCATGGCACCTTGAACAGAAGGTATGAGACTCTGATAGAATATCTAAGGATAGCAACTCACCAAGCACTATGTATTCCTTCCTGTTAGACGCCGCCATCCTATACACCAGTCGGATCTTGCCTCTCAGATCCTCTAGCACACTAGGGTCCTTAAAGCACTGGCCGTCTTTCGTGAGCTGAGGATAGCATGGTGCTGCTACCGTCAATATTGCAGCAACTATACGTTTCCCTGATTCGTAAGGAAACTCAACGAGATCATGGTCAAGGTCGTCCCTATGGACAACAACACCCGGAGAGTATACGCCAGCCACAGCGCCCGGGCCCACATTAGGCCAGGGATAGTATGAATCACACAGAGTGTGGTAGAGCGTAGATGAATAGCAGAGTGCCTCTTCCTGAGTCCGACCAAGGGTCGTCGCCCATCCTCCTGCGCGATATTCATCACTCGCCAAGTTCAGAACAGCTATTTTGCCCTTTGCATCAGTGCCGAGCTTTCGAGCAGCAGCATACGAGTCGGAATTTACGACGTCTACTCTGCTCGGAGGGTGTCCAGGGCACAAGCGCGCATCGAGTGGAGGCAGCTGCTGAGAAATGAAGGACGAATGTGCTGTGGCGGCATCTTGCTCGTGCTCCCGAATGAGTGCAGGAGAGCGAGCTATGGTATCGAGAGCGACTGCCTTGCGGAGGGCGAAGTCGGACATGGGCTTTGCACAGCCACGACCTTCGTCGCTCAATTGAACCGGCAATGGCTACATACTTCTTCGCCTCACCGATCGATGTCGACATCAAGCTCAGCGATGAGGAGGCAAGGAAATCTGTCGAACTGCGAGAAGAGAAAGACAAAGTAACGTCCTGCCTAGTTTACTACGACGGCGACTCTATCGGTGGTCATGCAAGTGGATGTTTTCTCAAAACTTTGAACGGCCTTCTCACAGTGATTTTTCTTTCCAGATCGTCGTTCGTGTTCGTGACGGCAAGAAAATAACCCACGAGGGCATCAAGGTTGAATTTGTGGGCAACATTGGTCATTAGGCATTGTAGGCGACGCGTCCATGTGTGCTAATGCTTATCCGTGTAGAGCTGTTCTATGACCGGGGTAACCACCATGAGTTCCTGTCGTTATCTCAGGAACTTGCTGCTCCAGGAGAACTGAGGCAATCACAAACATTCGACTTCAATTTCAAGAACGTCGAGAAACAATACGAAAGTTATCGAGGCATAAATGTAAAGCTTCGGTATGATTTTGTTGTTTTGCTACATTCAGTATATTAATCACACTTCAGTTACTTCATACGAGTAAGTATATCGCGAAGAATGGCGGACGTGAAAAAAGAAAAGGAAGTATGGGTCCACTCGTTCAGGATGCCACCAGATAGCAACAATTCCATACGAATGGAAGTCGGCATAGAGGACTGTTTGCACATCGAGTTTGAGTACAACAAATCGAAGTATGCTCTTTCCTTTCGTCTTGGCGTCTTCTCAATCGAATCTGTCACAGATACCATTTGAAGGATGCCATCGTCGGGAAGATATACTTTCTTCTTGTCCGCGTGAAGATCAAACATATGGAACTCTCAATCATTCGGAGGGAGACGACTGGAACACCGCCAAACCAGTACAATGAAAGCGAAACCATAACAAAGTTTGAGATTATGGATGGTGCTCCAGTAAGAGGTGCGTGTGTTCTTCAAGTGAAGCCGCTCTACTAATTGCCGCTCAGGGGAGACCATTCCTATAAGACTGTTCTTGGGCGGGTTCGATATCACGCCAACATTCCGTGATGTGAACAAGAAATTCAGTACGCGATATTACCTCAATCTTGTCCTCGTCGACGAGGAGAACCGGCGTTATTTCAAACAGCAGGTATTGCCTCTCGAAGGCATCATGTCAAGAATTTCGAATCTGATTTGGTTCCCCTTTATAGGAAATAACTATCTTCAGGATACCTGAGGTTTGTGATGTAGACTCTCGATGGATCCCTTCATGCTGATGCTTGTCAACAGAATTAGTCGTCGCGCCCCTTCTTGCTTTATGTACATCACTGTTATGAACTTCGATTTTGGACCCTTGTGGACCTGTGGATAAATTTTAGTCAATTCTGAGCTATATGGCATCTGTCTGAGACACCCCCGTCCCTGTTCTTCGTGTAATGGGATTCTACCGACTCTTACATATTCAGCATTAGAGCTCGATAACCCGAGATGCTTATTCACAGATAACTGCTAGGCTAATTTACTGCGGCTTTACGTTCTTGTGTATCCACAAAGGTGGTGCGTAGCTCCGACTGATGGGTTTCCAGTAGATTGTTTGCAGCCATTGCGGGCCTTTGGGGCGTTGGGGTGTCACGTCAAATGAAGGCGAACATAAGGAATGCGAGGACAACAACAGCTAGACTGGTCAGTCGAGGAAAAAAAAAGGTTGTGCTGGATGAAAGAGATGACCATTTTCAGAGTCCAACAAAAATTTGTCACTGTCAGTACCTGCTAGATCAATGTATAAAACCTTCGTCGCCCATGCCTCTTGTCATACGTCTGATGTCTGGGTTTATGCCCATCATACCGCCCGGTATTCGACTCGGGAGTCCACCGCTCCCCATGCCGGCCATTCCTCCTCCCATGCCGCCGCCCATGCCAGCCATGTTTCCTCCCATATTACCACCGCCCATTCCGCTCATGCCGATATTGCTCAGGCTGCCCATGCCACCATTGCCCATGCCGCCTCCGCCCATTCCGGAATTGCTGATGCCGCCCATGCCGCCTCCCATACCACCCATACCGCCACCCATGCTGCCACCCATGCCGCTTCCCATGCCGCCACCAAGTGCACCACCCATTCCTCCACCCACCATACCGCCACCCATACCCCCCATACCGGCCATACCTCCTCCTATACTCCCGCCCATGCCTCCGGACATTCCCCCGCCCATCCCGCTACTCATACTACCACCCATTCCTCCGCCCATCCCGCTCATTTGATTTGGATGACCAAATTCCATGCCCATGCCCCCCATCCTTATCGAGCCGCTATCGTGAGGAAGCCCTCTCCCAGGCCCACCCGACCCAGCACCACTGAAAAAGTTTTGTGGGCCAGCATTGAACGGCGCACTTCCAGCAAAAGAATTGGGTGCAGGGCCTCGTACGCTGGGAGATGCAGGATACGGATAATTGACCTGAGCGGGCTGATGGCGCATTGGATGCGGCGAAGCATCGCGAGTAGCAGAATGGTGCATATTAGGCATGGGAAAGTCTCTGTGAGAGGGTTCACGATGGGGCGTGTGGGAATGATGCGAAGGTTGGTCTGGGAAGCGATGCGGCTGTGGGCCGGGCGTGTTCTCTTGCGGGCTCTCGTCTTCAGGTTTTTTCGTGACTTCGCGGAGAGGAGTGTTGTCGTAGTACAGATCGGAATACTGGTCGACATGGAACCTGCAACGTACAATGAGACCACCACATCAGACGCATATAATCGGCTTACTGTTGGGTTCCAATGTCCCATTGAGGGCCCCGTTCTGCTCGAGCGATAATGAGGAGAGAGTTCCATTCCGATGCGTTTTCCTTTTAGTGAAGATATTAGACGGATGGCGATGGACGAAGAAAGGACAGACAGACAATGGCTTGATTGAGAGCATTTGATGAGTCTGGGTGTACTTGGTAGGTGTCGGTTCGGACGCCCTGCGTACGAGCCTGCGCCTGTATTTCTGCACCAAGCTTCTTGCCTATGCGCGGAGCATTGTGCCGTGGTACGGTGACACTAATGGTGCTGACTAGCCTGCCAGGTGCCATGATGGTGGTGGCGACAAGGAAACACGTGAGCGTAATAATGTTGACTTGACCGCTTCACCGTGTCGCCCATTTTCGGTCCGTCTTCCTTTCGTTCGACCCTCGAATCCTCGTTTTGTTGACTCTTTTGTAGGAAATGTCTCGAAGATCTGCAATCCCGTCTTTGGAGGCGTCGCAACAAGCTCACATTGACGACCTTGTCCAACGAAATCGATCTCTGGAACATTCCGTCAAGTTAATTCGTGACGAGCTTGACCAGGAAAAAGCTCGTTCCAAGCAAGCCTTGTCAGACGTCCATAAACGATGGAAGGCAGACCAGAAGGAGTGGCGCGAAGGCGTCGATGTCCTATTGTCCTGCCATCGCATCGCTCTTTGGCGCAAGACCATAGACCTTCAAACAGAGAGGCTCAACATTCTTAAAGAGGAAGAGGACATACGGCTGGGAAAGATTTCTCGACTACAACGGGATTTCAAGATTACACAATTCCAGCAGAGCGAGAGCCAATATATCTCTCGACAAGAACTCCTGGAAGACGAAATACAGGCTTTGAACAAGAAGCAGAGTATTCAAAAGGAGAAGTGGAGAGCTCAAAGTGCTGAACTCCTCGCTAGGGTTCAAGATAGGGAAGCCAGGGTCGAGGCTGCTACTACAGAGGTTGATAGATTGTCGGTGTGGTACCTTACATTTTTCTATACACTGTCTACATACTCAAGCGCTCATTACCCACAGAAGGAACTGACAGCTCAACGTGAAGAGACCGCGCGGCAGAAGAACATGTACCAATCCACAGCTCCCCAAATGGATCGTCTACGTCTGCAAATTGAGGGGGCCGAAGCCAAGCAAGCCGAACTACACCGAGAGAACGATGATCTTCGACGGGCCAAACATGAGCTGGACCGCCAGCTTGGGAAATGGCAAAACCTCGAGACGAAGGGCGGGGCAGACATGGAAAAGGAGAGAAAGCGACGAATCGAACTGGAAGCTGAAGTTCAGGCCCTTCAGAATCGGTTGGAAAAAACGAAAGACAAAGAAAAGCACAAGGTTGATAAGTTGAAAGAGTCTTTGGCGGAGTGGCAGGTATGTAAAACCTCTGTCCGACTTGGTTTGTAGCTGACCATCTTGTAAAAGACCCACGCAGAATCTGAGCGGGAAGCTATGGAGGAAACAAAGCGACGCCTCGATCAAACCGAAACGAAGAATGCAAAATTAAAGGCGGCGTTGGAGAAAGAACGCGCAAAGGCAAGGAGCCGCGCTACAGAGGTAACGGTACGCGTTATTCGCTAGGATACATTTTTCCCAAGTTCTGATGCCGCTCTGCAGACTCCCAAAGCCACTATGATTATCGACGAAAAAGACGACGAAGGGGAGGAAAATGTCAAGTCATCTTCACACACATCCACACCTCAGCCCCAACCCAAGTCGCGAGCTAAATCCAATGCTGCGCCCAAAGTTGCCAAGGTGAAAACCACGGAAGTAGAGAGCGTCGAGGTCGAAGATATTCTGCTAGGAACCACGAAAGGCGAAGGCAAAGGCAAAGCTACCGAAAGCGATGCTAAGTCCTCCACGTCTCGATCCCGATCCCGATCAGACAGGCACGAGGATAGTAACATTGAAGAAATACAGGCTCCGAAATCTGCACCGAAAGAGAAGGAGGCCACTACAAGGAAGTCGAAACGCAAAGCAGCCAGCCCTGATAGCGTGATCGAAGTTGAAGTGCCCAAAGCAAGGAAGAGAGCTGGCAGTGAAGTGAAGGATGTTGCCCCAAAGGCCAAGCGAGCGAGGTCTGCAACAGTAAGTCGGGCAGGCAGTGTTCAGCCTGTCGACCAAGGCACGGCACAAACGGCGGAGGGCCCTGTGAAGAAAGCGAGACGAAAGATCAACATCTTCCCGCCTCCGCCTACCTTTGGTCCTGCATTTGATTTTGGTAGTCAGGCAAGTTGACCTCATCTACACTTTCAGCTGACCCTGCTGATCCATGTATAGGAGGGTGCTAGCAGTTTGAATATACCAACAGCGTTGTCGCCAGTGAAAGCATCTGAAGTACCACCCCACGTCTCTAGTTTTGGCAGTGCGCTCAGCAAGTACACTGGGAGCATTGCACGTCGGGCATAAATACCATTTGTAAAATTTCATCTAAATCTTATTTAAACACTAGAATCGAAGTATATGTAGCCACATCATGAAACTCCTCCCTGCGTGGAAGAAATTGCAGTCGGAGCGATTAAAGAGGCAGATACACTCTTACAATCCACAAAAGTAAAAGTGAATACCCTTCGCGCCCCATAGTTTAGCAAAACGCCTACATGGAGCGGTAAGGTCATCGTGGTTGTTGGTAATTAGTGAAGAGCAAGAAATTTTTTGGGGTGTTTTTTTAAACGTTGAATCGGAGCTTCATTCGTTTTCGGAGTCCGCAGAAATGCGCCTCGTTCAATGCACGGAGTTCGGATGGTTAATCAACTAAATACATTTCTTTCCGTTCTGACTTGTCAACGATCACCTTATGTGCCGCGATCATGGACTTCCTTGGGTGTATCAAGCGATGGCTATTCCCCACCCCAGCTTTAAGTCGCATGAAGCTCGGTCCAGACGACAGTCACGATAATCCTTTAATGGTCGGTACCAGTGTAGAGCCTTCAGCCGTTGCTGAACCACATCCTCTCTTCCAAGATTCAATTCTTCACCTGGAACTCACGTCATCCTGAAATGAGCTGGTGGCAACACTTTGAATCCGAAATACCTCGACTATCTGAGCTGGGCTTCACACAAGTTTGGTTACCGCCGCCTAACAAAGCGGCCTGCAAGGTATCTCGGTTCATTGTCCTTTTCTCTATTTTCTCACCCCGCTGCTGCTTATAGCATGGAAGGGGATATGACGCGTATGATTTGGTATCGTTGGTTCGTTGCACAATGATTGGGATTGGCTGATTTAACTCGTATTAGTGGGATTTAGGGGAATTTGATCAAAAGGATGGCATCCCAACCCGGTGGGGCACCAAGGAGGAGTTTTTGCACGTTTGTGACGTCGCGAAACGGTATAAGATCGACATTATAATTGATGCCGTTCTTAATGTAAGTAGTCATCATTCATGTGTGCTGCTCTCTTCATGCCGCTTCCAGCACAAACTTGGAGCAGATCGAAGGGAAACGTTTACCGCTGTTCCCGTGAATCCACAAAACCGTTTAAAGAATGATGGTAAACCAAGAGAAATTGAGGTGAAAGATGGCCTTGGGTTGGATACAAACATTGACTCGATTACTTTAGGGATGGACGGCCTTCGATTTTCCTGGACGCGGTGGAAAGGTAAATGCTCCAATCTTGGTCGAATATATCTCTGTGACCTACATCATTCCCCAAGTATAGTACATTCCGCTGGAACCAGACTCATTTTTCTGGTTTGTCTATGGGTTCCTTTATGTCCTTTTTTTTAAAATCATCTTATAGGTCTTGATTGGGACGACAGGACGCGTAGCAAGGGCATCTATCGAATAGAGGGCCCCGGCCACAAAGGATGGTCGAAGAATGTTGATAGAGAACTTGGAAACTATGACTACCTGCTTGGCATAGATGTGAACTCAGTGCTCGTCATCGCGCTACCCATGCTGACTCTTCGATATGGCAGATCGATCATCGGCATCCTGCCGTCCAAGAGGATCTATTCAATTGGGGTTCCTGGATACTACAGGTTAGCCTAGGCCGAATGACAATGTCAGGCCGACTCACGATTTCCATCTACAGACCACTGGGGCTGTTGGTTTTCGTCTGGATGCAATCAAGCACATAGATCGAAGATTTCTTATCAGTTTTGTAAGTTGTTATCGTACAACAGGGTGTTTGTACGCTTGAACGGCATTAAAGATAGAGCGTGCGAGGTCGCAAAATCCAAGAATGCTGGCGGTCTGTGAGTTTATTCTGTTTTTGCTTCTTCGTCTTATCGCCCATGATGATTCTTCATATAGCTGAATATTGGTCGGGGGAGTAAGTAAACTGCTACGGATTCCCGTCCAACTCCTGATTTCTCGCTAGCGTCAAATCGATATTGCCGTACATACGAGCGTTTAAAGGGCAGGTGCGCGCACATGGTTCAATCCCTTACGATAATGGCTTACTGTTACAAAGACTGCATTTTTTGATGTTCCTCTGCACATGAATTTCAATCAAGCCAGCCTACACTGGACTAGATACGACCTTAGAACTATTCTGAATAATACTATTGCTAAGCTCAAACCTCAGGACGCAGTTACCTTTGTAGATAACCACGAGTAAGTGTATTTTATTCTCTCATCATTACACGATATGGCTAAGACTTCCTAGTACGGTGAGTCCCCAAGCAATGATGCATAGCTAAGCAATTGAACGAAAGTACGATCCTAGGTTGAAGGCCAAAGTTTGGAAAGCTGGGTAGTTGTTTCTTACCCTGTCTGATTAGATTTTTATTGATCGTTCAATCAGGTTGGAAACAATTTCAAGATTCAGGCTTATACTATAATTCTTTTGAGAGAAGAGGGCTATCCGTATGCTCTTTTTTTGTCGTCGTAATACAATCTTAAAGATGTTTCAGCTGCGTCTTTTATGGTGATGTCTATCCGAACACTGAATGTTTCGACGCAAACATTGCTCGTAATGTCATACGCCTTATTGCGGCTCGGAAGCTGTATGCTTACGGTTCTACGCATGAATATCTGCACGGTAGAACATGCATAGGGTTTGTTCGAATGGGCGATTTAACGCACCAAGGATGCGCGGTCTTGTTGAGCAACAAAGAAGAGTGAGTACCCTCTGAGCGTTGTACCGCATATCTCACGGAATATTCTTAGATCCGGAGACTTTGTACATAGTGTTAGAATGAACGTTGGTCTGGTAAGTGATTCGATGCTCTGGAGGTCCTGGGGGTCAATCGACATTCGACAGCGAAATGCCGGGTCACGCTTCAAAAGCTGGATGTCTGACGGGGGCCAAGTGGATATAGACGCTGAAGGCTGGGGGACGTTCACTTGCTTCCCTAATTATGTTCAAGTCTGGGTTAAGGCATGAACGAACCTTTATTCAATGAGGGACCGGTATAAGATGGACATCACTGGCATGGATCTAGTTAAAACTAATGATACATCGGACGAGTATTCAACTCAACTATTACTCACATGCAAGGAGCGGGTATTGAAACAAAGCATAAAGTTACAGAGATAATGAGAGGGCTTTATTTAGATTGTTCTTCCTACCCCGAGTTCGTCGAGTGTTCTATCGTTACCCTTATCATAGGTCGGGAACTCTCGAAAATGTCGTCCTTGTGGTTGTCATCATCGGAATGGCTTAATGGTCTCTCCTGAAGAGCCAGACCATGGCTCATCGCGGCTTCGCCGCCCATGTTGGCTAAATCTTGAGGCTGTTCTTCGCCATCGAACATTGCAGCAGTTTCTTCGAGGGTACGACCTACAGAATAGATTAGCAGGACCGCCGTATGCTAGAGACCAGACACCTTACCTTTGGTTTCCACTATGAAGGCTACCACGAACACCAATTCGAAGATAAGCCACCCGCAATAAACGATGTAATACCACCATCCGATGGCTTCTATTGCCCATGGATTAACACACTGATTGAAAGCGGATGTTAACATGATCGTAATATTCTAATGTTCGTCAGTAAAACCCTCGACAATTACTGAGACAGAAAGCACCATCACAGCGAACCCTTTGGCTCGAATTTTGTATGGAAGAATTTCCAGGGAGTAGGCCACAAGCATTGGGGTGTATGCTATTCCGTAAAAGAAATAGAAGAGGAAAATGAGCGGGATGGTAGCTGTACGATAAAACATTATCTCCAATGTAACCAAAGGCAGTGAAGTCACAATACCCTTTGCAGCAGACGCTTTCTTGAACTCGTTGAAAAGGGCTTCGATGATGGTCCAACAACCGAACGCTGTGATGGATCAGTGCCGTCTAAATAAACTTGTGATATGACAACTTACCGACCAACATACCAGAATTCGAAATGATGAATAACATACGACGACCTACCCAGTCGATAAGAGAAGCAGCAGACAATGCGACAACAAGGTTGAAGACCTATAGCGTAACGATATCGTTAACACGAGTAACGACTAGAAAAGTCAAACAGCAAACCTGGAGGGCACCATTGATTGCAGCTTTTGTCTCTGGCTTTGTGATACCGACTCCTTCAAGCACCAAGTTGATGTAATATGAGACCAAACCATTACCACTACAAAAATCAATGTCAGGAAAGCCCCGCGATCGTCACAATAGTTTTCACCTCCATTGAGAGAAGATCGCGATGGCTAGGACAAGCATCATCCTCTTTCTGTTGCCAGGCGTAGACACTAAGGACATGTAGGAAGTACTTCTGTTGATGTCTTCCTCTATTCGAAGGGCATGCCTGATTTGTGCGAGTTCAAATACCACTAAAAAGGGGGTCATGAGTGCACAGACGAAACCAAAAAAAAAAGCGCACCGAGAGGATCCCGTTCGTCTCCGCCGTTGGCGTGGTACTTGGCCAATACGCGCGCTGCTTTTCCTTCCTGTAATTCTGATGGTCAGGAAGCAGTTGTCGACATGGAAAGGAGGATTGTACGGACGTAACCCTTTGATACAAGGAAACGGGGACTTTCTGGAGTAAACCTTATTCACAGTACGCGTCAGTTTCAGGATGCCTCAGAACCGAGATATGTATGGTAGAAGCACACCATATCAAGCAGACCTGCAACAACGGTGCAACGGCCTGGATGAGCGTAGGAACGCGCCACGACCATATGCTTTCTTTAGCATGAATGAAGGACCCGTAACAAACCTACCAACAAGTGAACAAATTTTGTATTGTAGAGCCAGGGACAAAACATACCCACGCTGAAATTATACTGCCGATGTACCAGCTTGAGTTGTAAAAAGACGTGATCTTCCCTCTCTTTCATACTTACTATCAGGGACTTTGCCTACGTATATAGAAGCTAAACATACTTGTGTTGGATAGGCCAGTTCAAGCAGGAGAAGAGGTGCCGAATTCGTAGAGAACGCCAGACCGCAACCGACTGGGGAGGTATTGTTAGCAACCAAAAAGTATTTGAATAAATATACGTACGTAGAACCCTGGCAACGATGAAAACTTTCACAGACGATGCCGCAAACTGAATTGCGACTCCGGATAGTAAAATGAGGGATCCAATGAACAAGGCAGCCCTACGCCCTAAGATATCGGCAGCGAAAGGCGTCAACGGAAGACACTAATAGAAAAATATGAACCTAACGACGTCTTGGTAAGAAAATCGCGTACAATCAAAGCTCCCATGTTTTGCGCCGACTGAATGACACCTGAGAGGAACCTTTGAGGAAAGATTCATCGATGTTGTCATAAAAGATTGACCTAGGGTGACACCTTCGGGGTGCCCAAAGAAATCCTGCCATTCTGGGAGAATTTGCAGTCCTATGAACGAAGACATGGTTACTTTGTACTACAAGTTGACTTTGACAGGCACCTACCATTAATGAGAGACGAGTCAAGTCCGTTCACGGACGACGTGAGGAGAGGGAGAAATAGGCATAGATTCAATAACAGGATACCTGCACGTGTCCTACATGAGCAATGCTGGGGGGTGAAGATCATACGAGACCTACCGCGATTCGTCCACCAAGGACCGTGATGTATGAAGTCCACGATGGTCCATTCGGATACAGAGCGGGGTGCCATGAGGAAATCGTAAGGGGAATGCTAAAAGATGCAAAGAAATCCGTGGCCGCACAGAGAAGGTGGAAGGAAGAGGCTAGCACTCATGGTTCCCAGATTCTCTGACAGTGATATACGGGCGGACGCAATTAACCCCAGCCGATCACGAGCTATGTTGGCAAGTCAAGTGTTTGAATGCGGGGTAACAGGTATCTAGTTCCTTTTCATCGCAACAGGTAACATCTGGATTAATTGCGGCACCGACGAATCGCAAGTAGACGTCTAGTGTGGTCCTGTGCTCAAGAAGGTAGAGTGAATCTTACTGCAAGCGAAGAAATTCCGGTCAGACTCGAAGCCTTTAGAATATCGACCTACCTTCGAGCCGCTTGGTTGCGGTACTTGGGCTAGATCCTGGAAGACGGAGATTTATCGCTTTCATAATGTGGGAAACAGACAATTTATACCGGTATCAAAGTCACGAGAACGGAACGCGCAGCGAAGGTGTTTTGGCGGGCCGTCAAAAGAGGAATAGTTTTCTAAATCCCAGGCTGCTGCACATCACTGCTGGGGCCGGTTCCTTTTCGGCATGGAAACAGACATTCTGAAAATGTTGTGACTTGCAATTACCTTTATATGCTGCAAAAACGGGACAAGGAAAACACGATGAAAAAACTTGCTATTTTTGGCACTCTTTTTATGTGCCAAAAACCTCCCCTTTTCTTTGAATAACAAGGGGTTTCCTTTGTTCTGGCAGTGGAGGATGCCTTTTTCAATTCAATTTTCCCTGCTGTTTTCCTTTACGGAAAAGAATATGGAAATGATCTCATTATTTTACTAAACCCATTTTTACTATTGAAAAATTGAATGAAACGTCGCCGAACAACTGTAGCTAGGGTATGTCGAGTGAAAGCCACCCCTATAAATGTAAAGTTTTCTCGTCGCTGTGGGGTTTGTGCTGTGGGAGGGCTGAAGGAGGTGCAATAGAGAGACTGTAAATATAAAGTAGAGCTTTTCATGGCGGCTCTTGCTAGGGTTATGGACAGTAACTTCTTAGTAACATCGATCGATCGTGACAGTGTGAACCAATAGGTATCCGGCTACATGTTTTCGCTGGTCAAAAGCATACAAAAAACAAAGTTACAGTTCGCAAATGTCCAGTCTCCTCCACAGGAATACATGTCCAATGAGAAAGCTCCTCAGACAGCTGATTGGCATCTTCAGCGGTGGCAGGAACCTTGTGAACCATGATACAGCACCATCGTCAGACGACAATGTAACCTTTGTCTTTTCGTAAACTTTGAAAAACTTCACTTGAATCAACTGTTTTCACTCGGGGCGCAACATGTCAAAATCCAATTTATTCGTACAGCGAGTGCAGAAAACAGGTCATGAATCTCTATCCGTGGGCGGAGGTAGGAGAAAATGGTATAGTGAGAAAAGATGTTCAAAATGTTCGCTGTATTCGTCGCTGGTACAATTGGGACGGTAGAAGATGCGAATAAAAAGAATAGAATGTTACTTGTCGCTTGAAGGAAAGGAACGGATACTACATAAAGCAGCAAAAATGTTCATGAAAAAAGAGACCAAAAAGAGACCGACACCAGACGACCTCTTACCGTTTTGGGCTCAGGCGAACAGAACGAGGATAGCGGCACCAATAATACCTGCAGCACCCATGTTTGACAACTGAGAGAGGGCGGCATTGCTGGAACTGGAAGCAGCGGCACTGGAGCCCGTTGAGGTGCCTGAGCCAGAGCCAGAGCCAGAAGCAGATGATGCGCGAGAGCTGCTGCTGCCGCTAGCGGCACCGGACGATGCCGCCCTACGAACTTTAGGTTACGGTACGATCAAAAGACTAGAAAAAAAAAATTACCTTGTAGCCGAGGTAGAGAGGGTGGTACCACTACCTGCACTGGTTGTAGAGACAGCAACACTGGAAGACTCGGCTGCAGCAGATGTGGAGGAACCAGACACGACTGACGTCGAGCTAGTACAGTCAGTTGCTGCAAAATTGATTAGTAAGCGAAGGACAAGTTGATCAACCAATCACATACAACCGCCGGTTTGCACAGTGACAGGAGCGGTCTGCTTCACAGTTCCAGTCTGGTCACGAACGTTGAAAACGAGTGAAGTGCCTAAAATGACGCAATTAGCTGTGCAGTAAAACGTGGTGAACGCAGCTACCTTGAGGGAACGTCTCAGTCCAGGTGAGCGAAGTGCCCGATTGTTCACCAAGGTTCGCAAGAGTATTCCCATTGGGGTCGGTACCAGACGTGATACTGAAATAATATTAATACTATTTAAGCTCGGAGGACCAAGGTTAACTCACGTCTAAAAAAGAAAAAAAGGTTTGCCACATGGACAGAATTGAGAGAAAATACATACCAGGAAGTAAGGGCCTGAGAGAAAACCAGCATGAGCCTGCACCCAGCGTGCACAAAAATGAACATACCAGTTCCTCCAGACCAGCTGAGGAGGGTCGGTAGACACTGCGTCAAGCCGGAGCTGCGGAACGATGAGCTGGCTGGGTTGCTGCGGAGGGAAGGGAACGTACGGAGTGTTGATGACCAAGTCCTGGGCCAGGGCGCCGCCGATGAGCGCGATGACTGCGGAGAGGCTGAAGAGGGAGAATTTCATGGTCGCTTGAACTGTTGAGGATGTTAAGACCAGGGAGGAAAACTGCGGGCGCTGCGGAAGATGATGGGAGGACAGGAAAATTGTCTAAACAAGTCACGCCACCAGCATTTATAAGCTTCGGCCGCCGGTCCTTTACGTAACTAACAACAGGATTCCTTGAGCGGCTCGACTTTTTCTTGCTTATCTTGGCACAGGCCAGGTCGATTCGGATTTGAAAGTCGGCCTTCTCTCCCGTCAATAGATCTCGGAGCATTTTGCAAGAATCTATACAGTTCGGCTGCCCAGGTAGGCCCCCCCCCCTTAAAAAAAGGAGCTGCAACTACTACTTATCTTCAAGAATGAAAAACCAAGATTTGCTTGGGAGTGAGTGCTCACATCTACTCGATCGACAGTGTCTAACGGACCATCAATCTGACAAGTGTTTTGATTCTCTCTAATTTGGGATTAACTCTACGTTCCTCCAGCGGAACCAAGTCGTCACTATAATCTTACTTGTCAACTATAACTACTCTGCATTAGCTTCCTTACGAGCCGATTCAGTGACAGAGGGGGGCGGGGGGCGCACCTGGTTTTCAGCCGCATAGCTATACTGTAGTGATTGTGTCTTCTTCAGAGTACTATTCATATAACGAAACGGTAATTATTAATCTGCCTAGATTGAAGACACTCTTGCGCATTAGAGCGGATCTCACTGGGCAAGATACGCAACTTAAAAAAACCGTGACGTGTTATTTGTACTTGTTTGAAAATTTCTCTTTCTTCTACCTCTTCCTCCATGTGGGCTTGACGCATTCCAAATCCCAGGCCGTTCCTACAATACCTGTGTCTCCGTAGGCAAGTATTTTCCAGTTCTTGCGTCATACAGTTCGTTCTAACCGCCGATTCACCAGGCAACGGCTTGTGAATATCGCTGCATCTGCCTCTATTCTCCTTCACGCTGGCCTCCTTCATCTTTTCATCATTTGACTCAGTCATTCGCACTGAAGAGGTCCGTGCAATCCCAATCTGCATTCAGGATTCGTTTGACGTTACGCCAAGTGCAATGATCGACAGCACCAATGTTCCTTCCAGTCCTCAGGCGCAAGACTCGCCAGAGTCTCTGTTCGGATCTCCGCCACCTTCTCCAATCATCAGAGGTAGGTCACCGTCACCATTGTTAGCATTGCCTGGGTCTAGCAGTGGTGTTGGAATTGGCTGGGGCTCTGCACAAAACGTGGGGACCATTGCACTTCCTGGTTCCCATTTTGATTCTGAACTTCCAATCAATCCATTAGCCTTGTCGTTGAGTTATTCTCCTCGGCCTCCGGCGCAAGAGCAAGCCACTCCAGCTCTCTCCAAGTGGCGCCAACCTATCTTAGCCTCTGCAACAGCAACATCGTCGGCCATATCTTCGTCGTCGTCCACACCGGTATCCTCCAGGTCGTCTTCCCCACCACCGAAGTACACTTCTTTAGCCAAGAAAAAGAAGACGCTGAAACGAAAAGCAATGACATACGAACGTCCCCCTCCTCCCAAAATTCATCTTCCAGACCCCTCCGAACCGCCACCCTCACGTTTTCTCCGTAGTCAAAATGCTTTGCTTGGAACTGCAGGACTTGTTGCTGGTGTCAAGCCCTCTGACCTCACGCATAAGGACACACGGGGCATGTCATCCAACAACCCGATTGTCATCGATGACAATCCCCCGCCGCCTCCACAACCAGTTTCCAAGCCTCTGCTGTCCCTGTTTCCCGCTATGAATTCTTTGGGTCTGTCACACCCGTCCAACCAAGAGATTGTTCGAATATTGGTTCAACAGAAGGCGATATTCCCTCTATTGGAAGAGATACTGAAACTCATTGCCAGCGGCTCAATACGACCGTCACCTTCATGGAGGCGGGATTATCAGCATGGATCTAGGAAGAGGCGGAAGCTACGTCACGTCCCAGCCGGTGCAAATGACTGGGACGTACCATACCCATTTGCACGCGGCGAGGGCCCAGAAGAGTATGATGTGAACTGGGCAAAGGAAAGATGCAAGCAGTTGGTTTCGCAGCTCGTCGGTCTTATCAAGACCGCGACTCGGAAGGCTGCTTTGAAAAGCTATCTTAGGATGTTGAAGTTGGAGGAATCAGTGCCACAGATGTACGCTTCACGCATCGGCGAATCCGAAACACTAGACCTGTCGTGCAAAGCGGAGGAGGAAAATGGCTCTATCAGAGTGGCCGGACATGATTCCCTAGCTATTGCCTCTCATCCAACAGATGCATCCCATGCGATCTCGTCAGCAGCCGACGTTTCTTGCAACGAACACAACACACTTCCTATGACTGCTGCCCACGCAGCCTCACCTTCCTCCCTTTTCGATGCCACCGATTCTTCTCAGAATGCGACCGTGGATCACCTCCTCGAATCTCTTCTCTCTGTGTCGTCTAACGATGTCCTTACATCGGATTTAGATTCTTTTCTGTCCAGCTCTCCTTCGCCTTCCTCCAATTTTGCAGATTCGTCTGGCGATAGCGAGCAATGGCTGTTTGATAGTTGGATACCGATCTTCGAATCTTTTCCACTTCCCGAATCTGGGTTTGGGGACCTCCCTCCGCTCTCTTCACATACAGAAAACTCTTTGCCGTTCTCCCCTCTTCCTGACTTGCCTGCGGACTTTGGAAATTTGGAGCCGCTTGAAATGGCAATAGAAGCGGGTGTCGTAAGCTCTACAGAACTGTGGGGTGACCCATTTGACGTTTCACCACTCACCGTGCCGTTGGACACAGAGGTATCCGCCAATGTTCTTCAGCCAGAAAAAGCTATGTTGTCTTTTCCCCAAGCGTATGAATCAGCAGCAGCGGAAGATGTGTCATTTAACCTGGAACCACCCTCATCTCGAACATACGGAAATCAAACCTATCATCCTCCTCACGATTCTGTTATCGATCCAGTTCTCCTGGTTCACACGCGACAACCTGGCATCAATACATTTTTGGACATCGATGCCAGCCCACCATCGCTTGTTTCATCCCCGATGCCTTCCATGAGCTCCATGGGCGACTTGGAACTGTTAACTCCGAGCTCATCGGCCTGGGAAGTCAATTTACCAGACGTTGTGTCAGCATCCGGGTCCCTAGACGGTGGATTATCTGGCTCGGTGCATGCACCCGGCGGCAACTTGGAACCCTCTCAAGGTATGTTGCGTCACGCCATTCGAAATAACGTGTTTGCTCATCTGCGTTTCGGGAACAAAGGAGTGAGTTTTGACACGGAGATGAGGAAGAGTATAGAAAAAGAGGCAGATGTACGTAATGTCTTACCTATGCTGGTATCGTCGGTATTGCCCCGTAGGGCGGACACAACCACCTTTTCTTCTCCGCCAACCTCAACTCCTGATATCTTGGCGTTTCCGGCATCTAGGGTTATCTCGAGGGAGCAGCTTTTGGCGCGGGTGATTACTCGTAGGGCACAGATAGCTGATGCAATTGTGAAGGCACGGACAGCTTTGTGGGAGACAACGATTGAGGGTGGTGTTATGGCGCATTTGGCGAGGCATTATAAATCCTAATGCAGGTAGAAATGGGAATACTTCTCGTGATTACATTGTGCACCCAACGGTCTCCGGATCCTGACCTATCTTGTCTAGTTCAGACGTCACTTGGTGAGTATGGTAAGCGATATAAGAGAGGTCAGCCTGAGATCTGTGCAGTCTGCTGCAATTTCTGATTTACCTGCATTCACGTGACACGCGCGACGCGCTGATGAGCCAAATAGGAACAAATGAAATGTGGGATTCAACAGTAGAACAACAATATCCATGCCGCCCTCAGGGCCTCAAGACATTCAAGAACGGGATCGCCAACGACAAGCTCTTCAATCTCGACTGTCGACCTCCCTCGAAGAAGAAGAAGATCCTCTTGCCACTTACGTGCAGTTCGTCCAGTGGATAAACAAGAACTACGCCGATAATGATCCAAGCTCGGCCTTGCAGGAAGTTCTGAAGGATGCCATCGCGACGTTCAAAAATGACAGCACATACAAGAATGATCTTCGATATCTCAAACTATGGATACAATATGCACGCACTATGGACTGTTCTGCTGCAGTTGTTGCATATGCGTCGTTGATGAAGAATCAAATCGGAATATCGTATTCGGTTTTGTACGAGGAATATGCTGAGTTGTTGGAGGCAGAGGGAAAGTGAGTGATACGTTGTACTCGCCCGAACAGATTCTTTGATCGTGTCCCAGAATCTCAGATGCTGATCATATTTTTCGTTCTGGCATTAAGCGGCAAGCTCGTCCTGTAGAGCGTCTTAAGTCTCGATACCGAGGCTTCAGAGCCCGTAACGCTTCAGCGTCTTCATCGTCTGCTATAGCCTCTACCTCTTCTAGTACCCTATCCCCCACCATGACCGCTTCAACCGCTCAGTCGCGCTATGCCTTGATGCTCGCTCCACCCGCACCTGGAAAACGACCAGAAAAACTACGTTACAATACCTCCCTTCTTTTTACTGAAGAAGGTATGGAATATAGCGTTCAAGAGGCTCGGGCGCGATCAATGGGACTTCTTGGCAAAAAGTGGACTGCCTTACCGATAAGCAGCATCGTTTCCGCTTCGTCTTCCACCTCATCTGTCCGGGTGACTTTTGATGATGACGGACGGAGGTCTCGCACCCAGGGATATGGAACGCTTCGAAAAAGCATGATGAATGGGGAGCCTACGCTCACAATCAATACTAAGGAGGCTCTTGCGGATGTTTTTGGAATGTATAATTCTCCGGAGAAGACAATGAAGCTTACAGGACCAGGCAGCAAACACGCTCCGTTGAGAAAGGTAGAGCCTATGGCTTCTTTTTCGCAGAAGCAAGTGCAACCTCCCCTAGAGACTCAAGGTGGAGGTATGCTCTTCACCATTTATTTTTCCAGCAACGTGTTGATTGAAAGTTTCAGGTTCTAAACCCTCTATCGACGAGAATGCCGGTCGGCCCCGGAAGGAGAACAAACCAAAGGTGAGGCTCAGCTACTGTCGAGAAGTCCGTTTTCTGACCCAAATTTCGTAGTTTACTCCATTCTTTGATTCGAAGGAAAACGAAACATTTCTAACGAGTAGGCCTGCCTCAGTGCTCACGGAGGCGCCAACTTTCTCGGCTCCCACTACTTTCTCGTCAGGCGGCTTCAAAAACAGGTCTACCTCCGAGCCTGACATCATCTTCTCTAAAGTCTTCACCCCTGCAAATCCCAAACCAGCTTTACCTCCTCTCCGTGAGGCTTTCACAGAAGACCACGGGAGGGTGAAACCCAAGCCTATCCCCACACACGAGCGCGCAAAATCCTGTCAGGATGTACTTTTACCCCCATCGGATGTTCGTCCGGCTACATTCACTTTCATTGACGAAAACAATCAACGAACGCCGTTCAAGGTTTTTAGTCGGCCGCCCGAAGCAGAGAACTTTTTTACTCCCAAAACACCTGCTTCAACTTTCACACCGTTCGTAGATTCTAAACCGACATCCACCCCTTATCGTGATGAGCCTACGCCGACGTCAGCCGAGGAAAACGCTCAAGTTCCTCATACTTCCCCTCCCAGTTCAGTACTAGATACTTCTATCGGAGCCGTCGAGACTGCTGAGGAATTGGCAGCTAAAGGGGAGGCGGAGGAGAATGGTTGCGACCACTTTCTACAAGACGGATATGTTCCAGAGGAGTATGAGACACCTATCGAAGATCATGATGATTCTGTCAAGTACCCAGACGGAGAAGGTTACCAAGGTGTCCCTCTGGGTGGACGGTTCGGACAGTTCAATGTCATGACGCCCATTACGGAACGTACATTGGAATATACCAGCACTCGTTCCGTATTCACCAACACCCCTGGTGACCATCTTCACGAGGAATATGACTTGCTAGACGGAGAACAGACAGACGAGGATGAGAATCAATGGGAAAAAGTCCAGCCTTGGCAGCCGACGAATCATCCCAACCATTTTGCTCGGGACGAGCTTCCCGCTCTAGAGGAAAAGACAAGAAAACTCAGTCTTGCAGATGCATTGACACTGTCAGCCAGTTTCCGCCCATCTAATCCGTGCAACCCATTTGACCCTTCGATTTTATCCACTATGCTGTCTCTCGTATCGTCAGATGAGGATTATCATGATCTTCGAGATCAACAATCAAACCTATTGGACGACCTTCAGAAGTTTGCGAAGAAGGCAAGGAAGGCAAGTGGGGGTTCGCACGCAGGTGCGCTGGATTTCTCTTCGTCATTACCGGTGACATTACACGGTCGGCGATATCGAGTTTTGGATAAACTCGGTGAAGGAGGGTTTGGGGCTGTGTTCCAAGCAAAGAGTCTTGGAATATGCGATGAGAATGAGGACGAGGATGACCTTGAAGACGATGACGACGACCTCCAAGCTATGATTGCCCTCAAAGTTGTGCGACCCCGAAATATTTGGGAATATCATGTGTTGCGACGATTGCACTCGGTTCTTCCTCTTCCCTATCGTCCATCCGTCGTGCAACCTCATGCCTTGTTTGCCTTTCGAGACGAGAGTTTCATGGCAATGGACTTCTGCTCGCAAGGCACATTGCTTGGTGTCGTAACCAAGGCCATTGTCGCTGGCGTCCACCAGCAGGGCGCGTGCTTAGATGAGCTCCTGGTCGTCTTTTTCGCCATCGAATTAATAAGATTATTGGAGGCCATGCACCAGGAGGGATTTATTCATGGTGATCTTAAGATCGACAATTGTCTCTTGCGCTTGGAGGACGTTCCAGGGGGCGCGTCGGCTTGGTCAAGCCTCTATCAGCCCTCAGGCGAAGGTGGCTGGAGTAGCAAAGGAATCAAACTCATTGATTTCGGCCGCACTATTGACACCAGGCTCTTCCCTTCCGGACAACAGTTCACCGCTGACTGGGCAACCGACGAACGAGATTGCTTTGAGATACGTGAGGACCGACCCTGGACATATCAGACGGACTATTTTGGTCTTGCTGGAATCGTCTACTGCCTTCTTTTTGGCAAGTATTTCCAAAGCAATTCCATCACAGATTCCGGAGGACGTTACAAGATTGCAACTCCATTCAAACGGTATTGGCAAACGTATATCTGGAATGATTTTTTCGACTTGTTGTTGAATCCTTGTCAGATCAGGAAGGATGGAAGTTTACCTCTGTGTTCAGAGCTGGAGTCGATACGAGTGCAGATGGAGATGTGGCTACAGGCCAACTGCAATCGCACTAGCAACACGCTGAAAGGTTTATTAAAGAAGGTGGAGATGGCATGCTTACGTTAGATATTACCTATATTTGTCGTGTTTTGATTTCGTCCCTTGTAATGGTGTAATATATCGGTACTTACAGCCAGGGGTGAGCTTGGTTATGCAGACAGCAAGATAGCAATGATATTCCAGAAATCCACAACAACGACGATGATGATTTAGCGCTAGGTACACACCTCGATCCCCAGAGAGCTGATATGGATCTCAGGAAACAGAATAAACTCAGAGCTCAGCCTGGACATATTCATGATGGCATATAAACACATGGAACACAATCCCATTTCCATCATGCATGTCCACCCATCGGCACAGGCGCTGGACCTCCCTCGTACCCATGAGGAGGCACAGTAGGCGGCGGCATCATCATACCATATGGCACTGCATGTTGTACTGCAATAGGAGAGTCAAGAGTTTCATGGACGAAAGGACAGGAGACATACATTGAGGACTCTGATGGTAGTATGTATGCGCATGTTGCGGAATTGGGGTTGGAGGCATCGATTGTCGAGGACCCGCACCATTTGCTGAGGGATATGTACCCGGAGGGGGTGGCGGAGGCATGTAAGCTTGTGCTAGAGAAGGTGATGAAACTAGAGAAAAAAAATAGATGGTAATGCACATACGAGGCATTTGACCCATCCCTGGCGGAGCATACATAGCTAGAATGACAGTACAGAAATCTTCAGCAACGTCCAGTATCTGGGCTATAGCCAAAGCGCGTACCGGGAGGATAAGGCATCGGTTGCATGAACGGACCAGGCATATAAGCACCCGGTGGACCGGGGGGGGCCATCCCTGCCATCATTGGAGGCTAAATTGATTTGCAATCAGTGATCTCTGTCGGAGTGGAAGCAAAAAGATACTAACCTGGCCCGGATATCCATAAGGAGGGTAAAATATATACCCACTACGAGCCGCGGCTTGCGCTGCCGAATCTTCTTCGTAGGAAGGAGGTGGCATTGGAGGCGGGGGTGCGACCATATGAGGAGAGTGCTGAGGGGGCTGGTGCGGTGGTTGAGGATACATCAATATGTACCTTTTGCCATTATATGGCCACATAGCAGCTATTTCAGTTAACCAAATATTAAGCCCCAAACTTAATAACTCAGATGAGATGTCCTACTGATTGCGGAGGCATCAACAACTTTGTTGTGCTTGAAAGGATTGAAATCATCCTTGATGTTGACCGGGGAGCTTTTCTTGATAGGTCGTGTACCGAAAAATGGGTTAGGGGTTGCCTAAGATGGAGGGATGAGTATAGCTATGCAAGGTATATCGGAAAATCCAATTACCGCATCCTTTGGCTTAGGAGACGCGGAAGAGGAAGCAGGAGAAGGTGTGCCCTACGCGAAGAATTAAAGACAACCGCTGGGCGTCGCATATACCTACATACCGGCGTGAAAGCACTCGCTTTGGGATTAGGCCTGAATGATGAAGCGTTAACATTCAATCGTGCAGACGGTGACTGTGGCAGTTTTAACGGAGGAGAATGCGCAGAATCTTGCAATGGGGCGGGCGGGGCTGCGGCACCATTCGCGTTCTTGGTCGCAGAGGCTGACTGAACGGCGCGACCCTTGGGACCTTTGAACGGGGGTATCGGCTGGATGACCATAGTGATAGGCTTCTTGACTGTCGATTCCACCGGCTTCATTGTGGAAGCGGAAGGCTTCTGCGTTACAGCAGACGCTGCAGCAGGAGGTGGCGCTGTCGTTTTGACGGCAGTCGACGTTGCGCTTGGCTTTCGTCCAGCGTCAGCAAGTTTGGCAGGATTGGCCCGGGGGGCACCAGAAGGCACGTTGGATCCAATGTTACGGGCTTGAGCAGAGGCAGCATCTTTGCTCGCCTTCTCCTTGATGGCTCGCTGCTTGTCCTCATCTTTAGCAAGAATGGGAACCAAGTCATCGGGAATAGGTTTGTTGAGCTGTCGTTGCCACTGAGCGCCACATTCCGTCCTCGAATACAAGTTGACTGACCTTGAAATTCTGACTGAATTTTACAAGCTCGGCCACGCGCTTCTCCATTTCACTCTTGACTAGAGCCTGTCGTTTCTGTGTGAGCCGTTGTTTTTCGTTAGTTACGAAATCACGGAAAGCGGGTACAGCATCTGCTGGCGGCTAGGAAAGGGTTTGAATTAACACCGCATACAAGGAGAATAAGCACCAACCTTAGTCGAACCAGACGAAGGAGCGGGAGAAGAAGCCTTGGATGATGAGGGAGGAGACTGAGATTGAGAAGCAACAGCTACGCCGTCTGGCCCATTCACAGAAACTTTAGGAACATCACTCCTTGCCGCGTTGGAAACAGGAGGTAGGGCACCAGGCTTCCGGGCGCCTGGAGGAACGTACGCATTGGTTCCTCTTACAACTGCCCCATACCTATAAAGGAATGAACAACAGCCTTGGACCTTAGAGGACTTGTGCTTACTTGTCCTCCTCGTTCACTCCGCTATCATCCACGGTCTGATTCCGCTCTTCAGCGATATGAGGGTTGCTTGCAGCAGCCTGGATGATATACATGTAGATAGGTAAGATGACATGACGTATCTTCACTCACTCCCGTAATCTCATCTGCAATCCGTTGGGCCTTGCGTTCTCGTTCCTTGTAATCCGCAGTAGAACGATCGAGCTTTGTGGTGTATGCATCCTCATCGAAGCTAGCAGTGACTCCAAACAAGGATTTGTTTACAGCAAACTGATCCCAAGACGAGTTACTTGCGCCAGGGCCAAATGTGGCTTCGTCGCCTTGGGCGTGTTGGGCAAGCATAGGAGCATCAGAAGAGGGCTGCCATGCCTGCAATTCACGTTCTCTGGAAGCGAACTTCTTTTGGCTGATATCTGCGTCGGTCCGAAATGCTGAACATAGGTTGAAAAAAAACCTTTCCTTATGGGAAAATAGACACTCACTTTCGCCGTTAGTCGGTTTAGCATCAGCTGGACCCGACGCCCACCTCTCAATGTTGGTAGAAGCTATAAAGACCGAGTCTCTGAGCTGGGCACCAGGGTTGGAGATCTCTTTGACGTCTTTGAGAGTGACACCGGTCGTGTCGCCCTCACCGCTTGTCGAAAATATGACGCCCTCATAATGGATGGACGTCTTGGTCATAAGTGTGATAGTGGTGCCCTAGACATCGTGAGCATGGATAACGATAGATTAAGGGAATAACGCACAGTCAAACCTGAAAGAGACCGAAGAATGCTATCTTCAGGCCTGACGCCATTTGCCTGACCCGAGGGAGGTAAAGCACCCTGACTCGCGGGCTGTTGAGCGTTTGGAGGGCGTGAGGGAGGTGCAGACGCGGAGAAAGTAGGAGAAGCCCGCGCGCCTGTCCAAGCACTGGGAAAATTGAGCGTTAGGGTCGGCCTGGAGACGTCTAAGGACGATGGGCATACCGAACAGGCTCTGCGCCTTTCCTGAGAGGCTTTGGTTGTCGAGCAGTTGTGGCCATATCTGAAATTCAGGCGAGAAATAAAGACGGCAAGACGCTGTATTGAAGAAATAAGGCCTAATAGCAGGCTAGACTGGGGCAGATAGCGACGTCGTAACGAACGTTGACCAGCACGAGCCCACGGTACAAATGCGAGCGTGAACGCTGACGATGCAGCTGAAATGGCGTCGAGCAGACCGTCGAAAACAACGACGAAAGAAAGTGGGGCGGGAAGAGAATTTGGCTAGACTGTAAGCTGGTTACGACTTGACCTCTTCGGGCATGGCCGACCACTTTCTGGATTCTGGGATTTCACTGCTTCGATACGACCCCTGCCACTCATAGAATTGCTTCCATTTTCGCTATCTCAGTTGTATTTTATTTTGGTTGGCATGCATCTCCTGGTACATGAATTGTGAATTACCGACTGTCCCACATATTCCACTACCGTAGTAAATTTCAAGGAACAATGGGATCAGACTGGGCTGCCGAAGCGGAGTCTGAATGGAGTCTCCGGGGTCGCGAAGCATGTCTGATCACCCTTCCGCCTTGAGTTTCAACACACATCAACACATCAACACATCAACGACTCCCAACTCCGCCGTCACAGTCGAGTCCGTCCTGAAGATCATGATGATATGCCAGTGCGCCGATGACACACGCGCGCATATAAAATGTGAAACTGTATATTTCATAACCTCTTACATGTGCAGAACCAGAAAATACGGCGCTTACCATTCAGATTCCCCTTGAAATCTTTGTCCACGTGCTAAGGAGCTCGCCCTTACAGTTACTGCTTCGGCTGTAACGCTGCGAGGCACCGCTACTCTATACAAAACTCATACCCACTCATACCCATCCCACTGCCACAACATTGCCCAGACTAGTTCGAGGATGCTCCAGATATGCCGGTGCCCCCTTCAATCAATCGCTGTGTATCTGTCCGTTTCTAAGCACCTATCTGGCCATCTCACTTACATTGACAGCCTCCCGCCACCCAACACGCGAATTGACCGGTGGTATATGATCGGAGCTCCAAATATCTGGCACAGCTTTCCTCATTATCACTAATAATATGGTTGGATGGGAAGGACTTGTTTTTCCACAAAAATCTCTCCATTTACCGTGCTGCAACGCTGTCAATACCCAAACGCCGCACCCCGCCACCTCCTGCGGCTGCCCGCTTCTTCTTGCGACAGTCATTGAGAACATGCAACAGATGAAATTTTATTTGCAGAGAAAATGCTCAGTCTGAGGAATGTGCGATAGCGTACTCCTCCGAGTCTATTCAAACATATGTAGACCGTAAGAAACCTACGCACACTCTGCGAGCATCTAATTAAGCGCTTGCTCGGTTGTTGGCAGCCAAGCTTTTGCACCTGATTGATCTCCGCGTTTTTCTTTACCGGTCAGCGTCTAAATGGCGCATATGTACCGCATACGTTTACATTCATTTCCCATTCTTTCACACCCACGACATGTCTTTCAAGCGCATCGTACTGAACGAACGGCCTAAAGGACACATCGAGAAAAACACTTTCCGATCTGAACAGTGTCATCTGAAGGATTATGAACCCAAGCAAGGTCGGGTCCTCGTCCAAGTGACATGGCTGTCCTTGGACCCAGCTATGAGAGGGTACCTCAATAATGTCCGCAGCTATATGCCCCCAGTACAAATCGGAGAGGTTCGTTGTCACCGAATCCGTTCGGACATTGACGGATGTATCATAGACTATGCGTGCTGTCGGACTCGGCGTGGTGATAAAGAAAGCTGAAGGAAGCCAGTTCAGTGTCGGTGATATCGTTTGTGGAGAATTTGGTACGTGATTTCGCTAGTGTTTGAATATGTCCTATCGACGGAGAGCGGACAGGATGGACGGAATACGCGATCATGGAAGACAACAAGCTGAAGAAAATCACGTACGTCTGGGGCATCCTTATCAAGGACGGATCACTGATTTGGACGCGTTTAGAGTCCCACCAGGCGCAGAGCCCCTTGACTTTCTCAATTCGCTCGGACTACCAGGTCCGCCAGACCCATCCTATCACTTTACCCTCTTGCTAATACCCAAGTTCAGGCATAACAGCATACATTGTGAGAATTGTATAGACAGTTATCAACGATACTCAATTCGGGACCAGGGCCTCAAAGAGGTTTGCGATATCAAAAAGGGCGAGACACTAGTGGTCTCTGGAGCTGCGGGCGCTGTCGGTTCGCTCGTTTGCCAGCTTGCTAAACGTGAAGGAGCAAAAGTCATTGCTATCGCGGGAACGGATGAGAAATGCGACTGGTTAAAGAATGAAGTCGGTGTCGATGTGACACTGAATTACAAAAGCCCGACGTTTGCTCAAGATTTTAAAAAACTGGGATATGTTGATGCTTTCTTTGACAACGTGGGTGGTGAGTGGACATGCCCTGAAATTGTTAGGCATTTGTAACAGTTTCTTAGGCGAAATGCTGGATTTGGTCTTGACAAGATTGAACAAGGGTGCGCGCATAGCCCTCTGTGGTAAGTTGACCGTTTTTCTTTAAAAAAATCTCTCAGCTGTACTTATTAGAACATCTACAGGTGCTATTTCAGCATACAGTGAGTGAAAACCAGTGGTGTCCGCGTGTCCGCTTTCGACATATTGACATGACGGTCCGCGTAGATGAACGCCCGAAAGGATTGAAAAACTACCTCACCCTCATTTCGCAACGCGCAAAGATGCAGGGCTTCATAGTGCAAGTCGTCTTTTTCTTCTACGTTTCCCTTCTAAGCACTGACTGTCGATCCTCAGTTTCGATTATGATTCAATGTTTGCTGAAGCTATTGCTGAGATCTCAAAAGGACTCGGTGACGGATCGTTAAAGCGGAAATTCCACATTGTTGAAGGACTGGAGAGTGCGCCTGCCGCTCTACCTATGCTTTTCAGTGGGCAAAACAATGGGAAACTGTAAGCTTATTAGTGTATCGTCATCCCAGGCCAAAAATTTATTCTTTTCAGGGTTGTCAAAGTGTCGTCTGGACCTCAGTCAAAGCTGTGAATCAGTGGTATCAGTTACTGTTTAATGTACTTTTGTGTGGCTGTGTCGGATCGATCTCAATTTTGGACCGCAATGAGTGCGCGTCTTTTTCTCTGATTCGTCTGAAGAAGGTTCATCTTCAAGTAAACTATGGATTCTAAATGACAAACAATGATAGGCTCTACCGATTGTTGAAGATGCCCTGAAGATCTTTCATATCCAGGATGTGTGCACCGGCGTCTTCCAACTCGACCTCAACGGCCGCCTCAACGGCAGCTGCTGGCGTCATTCCTCCCCCATACAGTACTTCTAGGCGGTCGTACGTCCCATGGGCACCACGTATCAACAGCACTTCATTGCCACGAGCGACGGCGGCACTACAAGCTACTCCGAATCAAGACCTATAGAGGGCCAGAGGTAAAGGCAAAGTAGACTCACTCGATTTGAGGGCAAAATCCGAAAGTAAGCCTATGATCACTATCTCTGCATGCGGATGGATAAGGTCACCCAACTCGGTGCCGGTGAAGGCGTTGTTCTTCAACTTATCAATGACGTGTTCTTGCGGAAGCGGCGCGTAAAGAAGTTCCCAGCCTGGAGTAAGGGGCTCGTCAGCATCCCCCGCATCTCCCGTATTTCGAACGTGGATGATCATCGGTGGTGGATGTGCGTTACGAGCTGATTTCAATACTCGTTCGATATTTCTGCGAATGGATGCCGACGAAGGGACACCTGCTGGCGGATCAGCGAGGGGAGCGACTTGAACGTCTAGGAGGAGGAGAACACGCAATGGATTGCTGGACATCTGGTCTTGGAGCCTGGGCGTAAGGAAATAACAGATGCGAAGTGGAGTGAGACCTTTACAGCGTTTTCGTTCAGCACGAGGCAGTCAAGAAGCAGTCACAGGCCCCGATCACATCAACCCCAGCCTTGCAAAAAAATCGCCACTGTTCAGATTCACAGTAGTTGCTCGTGCTTACCGAAAATCAAATGTTCCTTATCGATGCCTATGTTCCGGAGCGGGTCCTTGGTCCTTAGTGAGTCATTCTTCCTGTCAGAAAGGTGTCAATGATGTGGCTCTGTCAGCTATATTCAGAGGCCATAAATGCACAGATGTCGTACTTATTCTAATGGACCGCAAATGGGCCTCAAAATGACTCACTGCGTTGTCAGAAAAGTTACTTGTTCAAGCAAGTTGCGTATCCAACACGACTTGGAGTTGTAGATCCATGTCATCGACTCTGCATCATCTCCGAGTCGAACCTATATTTCGCTCAAAAACATGGTCATTTGTTTCGACGGCCAATTGGTTCCGGGATCATTGCTCCTTTAGTTGGGTGACCTTCTCTTCGCCTCGTGTACGCGCATATGCTTCGTCGTGTCATCTGCCTAGAACCGGCCTCCTTCTCAGGTCTGACGACAACGAAGAGTCGCCATGAAAACGATACCATGGCGTCCTTGGGCTCTCGGGATCTTCCTGGGTACCGGTCTCTCTAGCGCAGAGCAGTGCCGTCTTCAATATAAACAATCATCGACGGTATCCACTGGAGTAGATGTCATACCACACAGCAGCGGTGCCTCGATGCCCCTGCCAACAACAGCGACACAGTCTGGATCGACATCCACGGCATCAGCGATCCCGTTTGACTACGGGAATGAAACAATACGTGGGGTAAACTTGTGAGTGTTCGCCTTGTGCGGATCAGAATAAAATGTTGAAGCCGATGAAGAGGCGGATGGTTTGTTCTGGAGGTAAGCATCAATATCAGAGAATCAAACAAGCGCGCTGATCTGCCATAGCCTTGGATAACTCCTAGTATATTTCAGAACACGAACAACGACGATATTATCGACGAATATACTTTTGGGAGCTTGCAAGACTATGACCAAGCCCTTGCTGTCTTGAAGGAACACTGGGACACGGTACGCGTCTGCATATTGGCTGTATTTCCCAGATTCACCTGCTAATTCTCAGTGGATAACCGAAGACGACTTCGCTGCCATCAATGCTGCTGGATTAAATCATGTTCGGTACGTGACAAGTCGTCTCATGACATGCCACCTTCTTAACAGTTACGTCAAAGTATTCCACTAGGTTACTGGTCTATCCCCATGACATCCTCGGACACCAACAGCGGCACGTCTGTCTCGCCTTATATTCCTGGCGCGTGGCAATATCTTCTACGCGCACTCAACTGGGCAAAGACTCACGACGTTCACGTCATCCTGGATCTCCACGGTGCCCCAGGGTCACAGAATGGCTACGACAACTCGGGACAGCGCACGTCCAACCCACAGTGGGGATCAAACGCCACGGACGTTGCTCGTACCGTCGATACGGTAAAGTACATCGCCCAACACATCGGTGGGATGATCGACGTGCTTGAACTGCTGAATGAGGCAGCCGGGTTCACTTCTAGCAACTGGGCTGCAGTCATCAGGCAATTCTTCCAAGATGGGTATGGTTCCGTGAGGGAGGTGGCACCCAGTGGCATGAAAATCATGATTGGTGACGCATTCCTCACTGTAGACGTGAGTTCGAGAATGAGACGTGTGCATCATTCAAATCAACTTTTTGCAGGAATGGACGAATTTCCTTACCCCACCGAATAGCACCGGGGTGCTGATGGACTATGTGAGCCTACTTGCAACTGCCCAAAGCGTGTGCTCATTTGAACCTCTAGCACGAGTATCAGATATTTAGTGATGATGAACTTTCACGATCTCTTGACGAGCACGTATCCGTACGGTTGCCCATCCTTCTTGTATTAGTTTATGTTGACATATTACCTAGTTCGCGTGTACTCACATCCCCGATCTCACCTCTTTTGCCCAATCCAATCTGTGGACAGTGCTGGGTGAATGGTCGAACGCACCCACAGACTGTGCTCTGTGGTTGAACGGGAGGGGCGTTGGTGCACGATGGGATGGCACGTTTGCTGTAAACTCCCAGTACTTTGGGTCTTGCAATGGGTGGACGGGAAGTTCGAGCAGCTTTTCGGATGATTACAAGTCTTTTTTGAGGAAGTAAGACGTCGTTTGCGCACTTCCTTTCATCAGATAGATAACTCACTTGCATGCTTAGGTATTGGGAAGTACAAGTCGAGGTTGGAGAAGCTGTACAAGGATGGGTGAGTTTGCTCTTTACTTAGTCGAGTGTCTGTTCAGTTGTATTTACAGGTATTCTGGACGTGGAAGGCCGAGAACGCTGATGAATGGAGCTATCAGAAGGGGCTTGAAGGCGGATGGAGTAAGTCCTAGAGTTGTCTCTTACCAAGTTCGTCTCTAACAAAGCTTTAGTTCCTACCGATCCTACAAATAGACTATACCCGAACATTTGCTCGTAGATGCAATGTTTGACGGACAGTATATATACCTATAGATCTAGTCCGACAACTTGACTCATTTTCGAGTTTCTTATAGAGTAGACTGTCTGATTATTTGATACCTTTCATATTGCACATGTTGTACATCGTAACTTATATCCGAATATTGTATGCATACTAATAACGTCTTCACTGGGTTAAGGTGTAAATGAAATGAGCAGGGGCCAATATACAGTACTGCAAGACACAACCACGCAGATTGAACACAAAAGAAAGCAGGTCACAATCAATATATCTGTGGCGGCCAATCCGGAAGAGCTGTGAGCGCAGCATTGCAAGCCTCCCGAACACGACGTTTACTAGCCAAATCACCCGACTGGCGATAATTCTGAAACACCTCGTGCATCTGAAACGAGGACGCCGCTACGGAATCTGCGATACAATACGACGCCAGTCAGTATAAAATGAGCGAAAAAATGGAACCTTACCGAAGTTTAAATCGGCTTCCTTCATCAACTGGGGTTGTATGCATTATTCATTGAATAATGGGATAAACGAAACTGGATGTGTACTTACCCCTTGAAGACGCATCATTTCCTGCTGTATCTGCGCAAGATGATATCCACCACCTCCATACTGCATCTGCACATTGAGCCGCCCAATATTGTCCTGCATCTCCTTCTTCCTTGCCTCCCACGCATCTTTGACTGCATCAAATGAGCCCAACAATTGCTTCCATGCGTATGTGTCCCACGACTCGAGTTCAGCCTTGTGCGTGCGTAGGTACTCCCGCGGGTGTGAAAAGCCTGTGGGCGACTTAGATGTAATCGGCGGTTGCTGTTGGGTGGGAGTGGGATTTATGGTAGAGCCCTCCCATCCTTGGCCAACAGATGAATAAGGATCGAACTGAGCCACATAACCGGGGGTGTTCTGGAGCTGCTGTTGTACCGGATTATATGCTTGTGACTGTGGTTGAGTGGTGGGTCCTTGCAAATATCCATAGCTGCTTCCTTGGGGACCTGATGCCACAGGCTGGCCCATCCATAGCTGACCAAAACCAGAGGTTTGCTGTGGACTGAGGGGGGTTATATACCCTCCCGGTGAGCTGTAACTGGAATTATACTGCTGCTGCTGGAAACCGGTCTGCTGCTGCTGTTGGTATGACGAGCTTGCGCTGGGCTGAAGCCACGATGTGAATTGGCCGTTGGCATGGTCTGCGCCTGAAATATCAGGAAAGCGACCCTCTGAGTTGGTGGGATCGGTTACGAAGGGATTATTGGTGATTGCTGGGCCAGATGCGCCATACCCATTGTACATATCAGAAGAAGAACCAGGAGGATAGGGTTGATGATGGCGGTGAGAAGTGAGCTTGGTCAGTATTATGATTCCAGAAACGGGTTGCTGTGCCGGTGTCCGACTCTCCAACAATAAACCATACAGAACGCATACAACACATCCTTTATCACTACAAATATGCTACATGGGCGCTTTCATTTTCTCGGGACCTTTGGCGCGGGTATCAGTCCAAGAATTCCAAAAGTCAGCATATAAAGGCCGGAAGCTACAACGGACCAGAAATTTATGAGACAGTATAAAATGAACCTGAAGCCACGTACCAGCAACAATAGCTTTCGGGTATCCTAGACCTGACCAGTGTCCCAGGGTCACCACTAAGAGTAACCAGCCTCCAACAATTGAGAATGTCAACAACTAGGTATGGTTGAATGGGCGCCCAACGCAGTCCATGCCGCTGACACGTACAGGTATTACGGTTGACAGAAGACCGGATTTTCTCCACAAGCGAAACTAGGACTTCCGTCAGTCAAAAATAAGGACTCCGAGTAGTGACTACGCACGTTTGGCTCTTCTCCCTTCCTCCAGGGAGTCAACATGACATAAAAAAATAGTACGATAGTCGTAACACCCAGGAAGAGGCTACTCAAAGCCGCCGTCCTACAAAGACTTTTACTGTTAGCATTCGAACAATATTCCCCACAAAGAGGTTCACGCGCCTGCCCCAAGTCTGCTCTTGCTGCTTGAGCATCCAAATCTCCTTCCACGTTCCGATAAAATAGGTGATAAGGCCTCCAGGTATCACCAACCTCAGCTGTCGGATCTGGTGCTGGGAGGCAAGCATTTCGTGGAAGTAGTCGACAACCACCTTAACCCCAAGAATCGGATACCTTTTTATCGCATGTTATTGCATGGTCGGAAACGAGAGGCTCTTACACGCACATCCACACAATGACGCACAATTTACGATGGGAATAATTATACAGCGCCGATTCCATTCTGCAGCAATTACTAATTTCAATTTCATCTAATAATTTAAGAAGATGCTATTGGGGAAGAAATATGCCCTTCTGACACTTGATTTAAGCGGAAAACTTTACAAATTATAAGAAAAAGCCAAGAAAAGTCATCACTGAACACGAACCTGGATGGTCAAAGAATCCGGCCAAGGAATGATCTTGCCATTCGCACTCAAATACATCTGGGTTGTGCAGCCCTGCTGCATGTCGATGAATCTAGGAGGAGGGTAAGAAATAATAAAAGATCAAGGACGTGAGGACACACCGGTTGAATTTCCCCGTAAGAGCGACACCGGGAAGCGACAGGATTTCGTACAGGATTCGTGGTACCACCTGGAGGCATGAGATATCAGGGAATTTGAGAAGGAGATTTAAATGAGCGAAACATACTGCATCAAAGAATGGTCCTGAAAGAAGGCTGCAGAGATTGATATTTAGCAAGCACGTGAAGTAGCTAGTAATGCAAATTACCCGTAATCGGGAAGTCCGAGGATAGGATAAGCACCGGCTGTACGAGTTCTGTTTGCATCAATGATGCTTGCATACACCTTGGTGCCGGAGCTAACGTTAGCATTGCTACTGAGCAGCAAGGTGCGCTGCGTGAGACGGCTCGTGTGGGACAATGGTGGGTCCGCACCTAATGCATCGAGTTTAGCAATTAATCATTGTCAAGAAACGAAGGTCATGAAACTCACCCAATGCTTCGCGGACATACTGCATGACCTTCGCATCTCCAGCTTTACTCTTCAGCCCGGCATTTTTTACTAGATCCTCCCTATGCAGCTGTTTTTCCACGTCAAGGTAATAGTTAACCACGTGCGCAATTGCCTGAGAAAAGTGTGCCGCTGTAGGCACGAGCTCGCAAAATAGGGAGGCGGCCAAAGCAGACGCGCTGTGTCCAGGGCTGCCGTCCGTGAGGTTGTGTTCGGCTTTGTATACGGATTTCAGGAAGAGCTGAGCGTGGTTTTCGGGATCAGAGCTGGTGCGAGAGGAAGACGCGAACCAGGAGGAAAAAGCATCGAGGTGTCCTTTAACCTTGTCGAAGAAGTGCTTGTAAGTAGTTGTTGAACTTTCACGAAGGTGCCAATCGTTCGAAGGATCAAAGTTGACATAGAGGTATCTGAAATATGGGCGGATGAATATTGTGGACGAAGTAGAAATACGCAAGGACTTACTGCGCAACGGTAGCGAACATGTCATAGTACTGCGACGCCGTGAAGGTGTCATCAGAGCTAGTAGCTGCAAGTGGTAAGCCCGCCTATTACCGAGTGAGTCAGCATTCATGCCAGAGAGGACAGATGGACACGGACGAGTTCTTGACATATCCATTTGACTGGAAGAACGTTAATCACATCTCGCACAATATCGATGTTCTTTTTCTTTTGACCGAAACACTTCTTTTTGATGAGGCTTGCAGTGGTCAGGGCGAAGTATGACGTCCATCCGTCCGCAGTGATATATTTTGAGATCTGCATATATGAGATGGGTTCAGCAGTAGCAGGGAATAAAGTTGCGCACCAAAGATCTGTTCGGTACATGCCCCGTCATCAACTCTTGCAATCGTTTCTCGCTTTCAATGTTCGGAATCCCAAGGATGGCCTTTACGTCATCATAAGTGTTCACTGCGACTGTCGCTGTCGCAGGGTGACGGTTCCAGTCATATTTGGCTATCACCTGGGGTGCGATACATGAATTCGACCTCATATACGTTGGATCCAAGAAGGGAAAGTGTGCATAAGCAGAACGAGGTGTATAATGGTTAGGTAAGGTGCGGAAGAGGAGCTTGGTAAGAAGACCGCCATAAGAACCGTCTTCCTTGTCAAATTGGCAGTCTTGATAACCGAACGCGGTGAGGTTGAATGCTAAGGGGTATGCGTTGGTTTGTGAAGCGGGTAGATACAAATGAAAGTGACCCACGGGTAAAGTCGACGGTCAGGAAACGGTCTCCACGAGTGAGACATACCGCATCTGCAAGGATGGCACGCGAAATTGTGTATCCAGGGCACAATCCGGCGCCTGGGCCCGGCTCTTTAGCTTGCTCGGCTTGGAGACCGACCTGAATATCTCGTATGTTGGAATTAACTAGGAGGACTGCAGCCAGAGACGTACGTGCAGCTCAAGGTTTTCGATGTTTCCATATAGAGATGCAGCAGTATCCTGGAAACACATCAGCGCCCCCTGACAGCTTTGATTGAATTTGATACGAACGGCAATGTCTTTATCAGGGTTCCATTCCAGGAAGCTGGTGTATGCTGGAGAATATTAGTCGGTATTTTTTCTGAAGACATTCAAATTTAAGGTCGCACTCACGTTTGAGTCCTATGAACTTTCTGAATTCATTCAACTGGGAACAGATCAGATCGGCGTCATTCTGGGAAACTGTACTCACCGAACAAGTTCCCCAGCTACGCGCTTGCTTAATCCCCATTACCTCAACGACTCTGAACGCTTCGGGAATACCGCGGGCTTTGAAGGCGCCCGCTCGGTTCGATGTCGCATCCTGAAGAAGCTTAGCGAGATCCTCGTCCTTGAATTGCCCATCGCTCCCCCGCAAGAGGCTAGGACAAAGGTCAGGTCTTAATAAACCATTTGCGAAGAGATGGTCTGTTACCCATGGAAGGTCCATTGTCTGATGTCATCAGGAGGCTTCAGAGCCTGTCTGACTATTGTATGGAACTCTTGAGTAGTAACCTGTCGGAGTAAATCCTAATTAAAGTCACCAGCAAGATGAATACAAGTGATGTCACCTCTGCCGTCCCTTGGCTCTTGAACAACTGACGAAATGTATTCTGCAGCCATTGGGTGTCATTCTGGGAGAGAGTAGCGTGCCATCGATAGAGGAGGTTGAATTCAACCGATACAACATTGCCTTCTCCGCGCGGCGAGAAAGTATGGTCGGACCGGCGAATTTCCTGTGCAAACTCAATGCAGATCAAGCTGAGGTTGATATAAGATTATGTACCTTGAGAGGATCCAAACGCCAGGAATGTCCATCCCGAACCAGTCCAAGGATGGCACCTACGTAATCTGAAGAACACTGGCTTAGAGTTAACAGATCTTGCATACCATAGCTACTTACCACCGAGAATTATTTGCATGAAGTAGCCACAGTTGACAAGACGGGTGCGAGCGAAGATTTCATCGTCCTGAGCGATTCGGCTAGCTTCGTCCGTGAAGGTTTGGGCGTAGGTTTCATGCTCATTAATGGCAAGAATTTTCTCGGCGATATACTACACAAAAGGATCAGCTTGAAACAGTCCTGTTTGAAGAACGCAGACAGACGTTATGGTTTCGACACAACAGAACCAGAAGGGCGCACGAGGCCGCTGGCATCAAAAGCAACCTGCTGTCGGCAAACACATCCTCCCACAGTCGTCCTGTACCGTCTTTCCTTCGGACTCTGTCGACTTCTGCTTCCGAAGATCCATAAAGGATGCTAAGATCGAGATAGCTACTTGATTTGTTGATATCCCAGTCGTTGGAGTCTGTGTTGAAACAGCTATGAATCACGAGGTCGGCAAAGGCGAAAAATAGACTGGAGATGCCGCCGGGATGATCCTTGAACTCATCACGACGCAATAATGTGTCGAATACAAGGTTGGGATCAGGGAGGCTGGAAGCGGGAATGTTGCGCAAAGCTGGAACGGAGCGAGCATAGGGTACGCCAGCCTTTCCCATTGCAGGGAAGAGGATGTTGTAGTTGGAACCGTCCGCAGATCGAGCAACATAATTTGGGGTGGTGGTGACTTGAGAAGGTGCCGCAAGGTGCGTAGGAGTGCTGCCAAGATAGCTGCTGGGCGGATGAGGTAGGTCCTTGTATACTATAATATTACCATGAGAACACGAAAACGCATTTGACAATCATGGATGCTCACAAGTATCAATTAGGAAATCCTGTATGGTCCCCGACAGGTGCTGAAGCGTCGACTCTTTAGACTCGCTCAAACGCGACATCAATACAATGAGCTTCTCAAGCTAGACAAATGACCGGCGTCAAATCATTGGAATATCATGAAACCAGTGTTGTACCAGAAGATACCGGTCGTTGAGACTCTCAGTATGGACGGCCGCGTCGAGATAGGCTTTCTGTCGTGGGTGTCAATGGCAGCCAATGATGGCAATAGAGGGGATCCTCACGAGATCTGAGGGCTTGACCAAGGGATCCTCGACATAGCTCTCGAGCTTCTTGACTGCATCTTCAATGGAGCCTAGCATTGTCCAGGTCAGTTAGAGCTGATGGTAAGGATAAAGGGAAGGGCAGGACAGAAGGGAGAAGAGAAGCTGCCTTTTGTAGTCTCATAAGAAGCGCCCACTGACGGCTGTCTGTCATAATCACGGAGGCTAAGACCGGAGCCGCGACAATAAAAGCTGCGCGCACAAATCTCTACGACGTGATAGGACCGAATCTATACCCTGCCCTGCCCCCCGCATCAATCGTGAGCAGAAAATCTCCGTTCCATCCGTCACTATTTCGACTTTAGCTTGCCCGCTCATCAACATCATCCAATGATGGCCCCCTGACTCTACCAGTCCAGAACAAAAATGCAACATTCTGCCTGTCTAATCAGAGCGAAAGCCGCTCACAAGATACACCCTGACATAGCCATAGCCATACTCATATATTGTGCTGATGCATGGTGATGATATACAAGTACTAGAACATTTCTTACCGTATGTAAATGAAAGGAACCACAAATCAGGAACGTCTAAATAACGTTCTCTTACCTTCCTCAGACCTCTCCTGTGCCACTGTACCTTGCGTCAAAGTCGATTTCCAATGACCACGGGATTTCTGGTATATTCGCCACGTCTCCGAAGCCAACATGTTCTCCTTCAACTTATGAGCTTTCTGTTGCGCGACTCGCGTCCGTCCCATCAGTGTGTCTCCTGCATATGATATTAATTGGCCTCCGAACTCCTTCAATTCCTTCGCTTTATCCTTCGCTCTCTCATGACGGTGTTTGACAGCCTCCCGCACAACCTGAGATGTTGATTTGGATTTGTCAAAGATGGTATCTGTTTGCCGTCTGATCGCTCGGGAAAGCTCATCAATCGCCTCCATCAGTTCCTTCAAATCGTGTTGGACGGCCTCGATCAATGCCTTCATGGTAGAATCCAAGATCAGCGAAAGCGAATCCACGGCACGAATGCTGAGCGATGCAAATGATTCGGCTGACTTGGACAGTTCTTTGGGCGCCACGATGGGCAGTGTAACAGGTGGTGGCGAACGGATGACAACATCCTTTGATAACCCCATTCTCTCAGACCAGCTGAGAGGCTTGCAATCGCACTCATCAGATGGGTCATTGTGCTTAATAGCTGGGGTAGAATCGGCGGCCTGAGCAATCCGTCCCAGCGATGTGCTACCACTGGCTGAGATAACAGTGGAACCTCGACTGCACAAAGACAGTGACGCAGACTGAGGAACAACCGCAATGCTTGTAGAAAGGCGCAGGGAGAGCGAGGAGGATTGGTTGGTAAATGCATTCAAGAAGGGCGCAGGAGTATGCGTTCTGGCGGTTGGAGTTGGCACAGCTGAGCTAAACACAGTATTGACGGTGAATCCGATGATTAAGGACAGAAGCGCAAAACTAGAGACGGGAATTAGAGCCTAGATGATATTAACATTAGGAGAGAATTGACATACAACGTGACTGCGTGGACGGAGGTAAAATGTTCGGACAGTCCTTTGCCTTGACGCTTCTTGGCAGTGATCTGTCTCATGCCATTGCACACATCAACAGCAGAAAGCCGTGAAATTTCTTCCATGCAGAGGACTGGAGAACGTGAGCCCTTCTGCACATGTAGAACCTTCTCGGCCGGTATACGTAGTTCAGACCATGCAGATTCTGCGCGGTCAAGAACATCCGGGCCGACCCTATCTTCGCCCGGAAGAGGTGCAGCAACAGGGAGATGAAAAGTATGCAAAGGAAGAAAAGAGAAGGATGCGCAAGGAAGATAAAAAATCCCAAGAGAAGGCCGGTTCGAAGAAGTCTCCGAACTCGGCTACGACGTATTGATGTTAGTGTCAACAAAAGAAATGAGAAATACGCACAATATCTTGACCAGTTCTGTCGTAAATAGCGACTGACTTGAAGATATCTGCGGACTCCGCAATAGAGAAATGAAGCAATTGCACAGAGCCTAAGGCCGTATGATCAATGGAAGTGAGACTGATGCCGGCTCCAGCGGAAGCCTTTCGCAGCAAGTCGTGGACTACGGTCCACTTGACAGTGGACGAAGAGCCATACAAAAAAATGTCATAGTCCACATCACCAAAATCAATATCTCGGGTGTCTGTAGGACTCTCGGGTGTGGGTAACAGGCCTGGATCCACGACGGGCAACGAGTCATTCACAATGGCTTCAGTACAAGCTTCTTCAGCCTCCAAGGAAAGTAACTCGTGGTTTGACGAAGACACGTTGTCGTATGAACCGCTCAATTGTTCATGAGAACTGGTAAGGGGATCGGGAAAAGACAGCTTCAGGTCTCGGAGGGAGCTGTGAACAGTAGAGGGACGTGAGCTGCTTCGAGAGGCACCCAATGTGCTTATCATGCTTTGATCTAAGGCCTCTCTGACACGCTGCTCCTCCCCTTCTGAATCGAGGAGGGGTCCCATGATTGGACCGTCCGCCACTGCCCCTATCGACTCGAATTCGTTGAAATGACCTTCATCAGAGCTATCATCAACAAAGCCTTCCCAAGCATCTACTTCGCCATCTCTGGAGCTACCGATGCTCATGGAGGAGCGTCTGGAGAGAGGTATCGGTACCTCATTGTGATCACTGTCCTGGGACGATACTGACTCATTGTCATCGGACTCGCGATTGCTGGCGATGTCGAGCCAGTCAGAGTCAGAGAGGCTATCCTCAGACACTCCAGGAGATTGAGGATAATCTGATATATCGTAAGTAGCGTCGCTGCAAAGAGAGGTATCGTTCATGGTGGTTAGGAGCAGGGAAGCTGAAAGGCAACGGGGAGGCCAAATGAGTAACCTTCGGCAGACCCGGCAACGTTGCCGTGATAATCCGATCTTAATCTTATCTTATCTAAGAATTTCGTGCTTTTATCAGATAACGTTTGAACTTGTTGTCCGACTACTCTTCGTTCACGACTTCCATGATCTCCTTCCTTCTTACACTCCCGGAAGATGTCTTATTAGCTATTTTCGCTCGGGTTTCTGTCGAAGACTTGCTTTCTCTGATCCAGGTGCGTGGCTGTTCCTGGTAATCCAAAGATTTGTCATTCAGTAATAATGACACGCAGACATGTCGTGTCCTTCACGCATTGGGCTCGACGGATTATGTTTGGCACCAAATAAATGTCCACCTACCATTGGACGTTCCTTCTGGCAAGGACATACACTTAATTTCCGGTCCGGAGCTCCATCGAGCTTGGGTTCGAGGTTTACGTCTTGAGCGCAACTGGCGCAGACATGCTTCGCGACTCAGAAAGATGTGCCACATCATGCACGGCGGTATCGTCGTCCGAATACAATTTCTAGGATCTCAGTGGTTAATTACCCTGTCTCGTGCCCCCACAAGCGTGTTATGCCTCTCTGTTTGGTATATTGGTGTACCGGACAGAGAACGACGTCATCTTTCGATGGACGTGCCGTCCGCTACGACCTTTGCTGCGTCCATGCAGAATGACGGTCGTGATGCTATTGTTGCCATTCTCATGGATGGTATTCGAACGACGTGAGGCATCAATCGCTTTCACCTAGATTCTACTTATCGATAAAACAGCAAGGTCAGAGTATATTCCATCACGCTTGAGAGCGACGCGGATGGCGAGCATCCGATGACCCATTGCCCTCGCCTTATGAGTCAGATCTCTCAGGCCAAATCTGAGGGAACCCCGAGTGAAGTCCAGATATACGGGGACATCGTCGTCGTTGCGATTGCGTATTTTGAAAATATATTTAATCCGCCGACATATCGTTTCATTGTTCTCAGCATCAAAACAGGGAGCCAAGTAACAATAAGCCCCAAGCTTCCAGAGGTATGGTGTATGTCATTCCGCGCTTCCCTCGAAAACTGATTTCAAGAAGCATTTCAGCCATGTTCACTTTAGGCTCTTCCCGCGCCACATGGTGATCGCTGGGATGAAACTTCACGAACGTCTCGTCGTCCGTATCTATGATTTATCTCCGGTGATAGCCAGACTATCTGGTCTTTACCAAAGCAGCAGCCCCACGAATGATTTGGACACATTCAACCAGTATATTGCAGAATATGAAACGGACGATGTTCCGGCGGATTCAGATTATACTCTTTCAGATGGATATCTGAGCCACAATTTTCCACGTATGACAGCCTTATCGTTCCATGGTTCCGCGGGATCACTACACCGTCCAGGAACCGCGTCGGTGTTCTCCTTTCCTTCAGAAAAGGGTGCGCTGTGTCCCAGATCCCATGGCGCCGTGCCTGTGCATGTATTCCCCACTCCAGCTAGTGCCATGTCTGATATTGTCTGTATCGGAACCACTGGCCGACGAGCAGTATGGCTGGAACGTCGTTGGGACACCGACGTGTTCACGCTAATGAAGGGCACCTTCTCTCCAGAACAAAAAGGATCGACAATTGTTGAAAGGCTGCTTCCTTCGCATCTAGTTTTGCCGTTTGAGATCTTTTCATGCCAATCGTTGGCCTTCGAAGAAAGTACTGGACGCGTTTGTCTCGGGCTCCATACAGGAGAGTTGTACATTCTCTACTTGTGTGTGTGTTTATGCTTCCCCGTCTTGCATGCTGACACCACTCAAAGCTAGTGTGAGATCAATTCGGAGCGGACCTGCAAGATGCGCCACGACCCCTGTACAGCCACCTTTCCCGTACGTGTCTTTTAACTTCGACCAACAGGGCAGTCATCGGACAAAATGCTGCGCCAAATCTTGACAGAGTCGCAGAGAAACATGGTAGGAGTTGCGGTCTGGTTTGATTTAGCAGAGAGGGAGGTTTGCGGTCCCGGAGTTACCATCACTTTCACAGCGTCATCAAAATTGATATACCTGTTCATTAACGAAACTATCGACAACCTTTAAATGTCCTTGTCTAGACTCTGAAGTTGCTCAAGCGTCCCGGGCCCGGGGCTAAGCTGTGAGAACGTGATCGCGTTGGTCAAGAACACCTTATAGAGACATGCCGGCACGAGGATGTATTCTGAAGACAACAAATATTTGCTTTCTGAATTATGTGGTAGTATGTCGCAGGGTCGTGTGAGAGCTACTTATGTAGTGACGATGCATTGAAAATTGACTTATTCGGGAAGATCTCAGATTTCAGTCGCACGTGATGAGCTTGTACCAATGAAATCGATCTTTTGGAGATCCATTTGTGTTCTAATTCTGCAATATCCTTGTCTCTGTCCTTCTGCTGAGCATTGTCTCGCGTGTTTCAAGGCTCACTTAACGTCCTCGCTCTTTTGTTTTGGACATGGAGCAAGAAATCGATAGGGTCGTGCAAGCAATTACAGTCGCATCTGATCCTGCACAAACTCCGTTGCATCCAGAGGCTTTGGCCTATCTTTCTACTATCGAACAAAACGCCACAGAGACTTGGCGAATCGCTCTATCCCTATTTGTCGACGCCACCTCTGAAAGGGTTCGAAAATACCCGGCGCAGGCTCGTTTCTTTGCCTTGCGTGTGTTGGATGCGTTCTTGGAGAGTCGGTGAGTGGGGCATCTGCATTTCTCCAGCAAACTTCTCTTGTACCTCGCCAATACCCCAAGATTGTTGTTTACGAAGAAGCGCATGCTCAGAAGAGTACAATGTGTTCTGAAGAACTTTAATTCGTTACATTGACTGTTGTGTGGCTGATTGACTTATGACTTGCTTCCAGGTTTGAACCCTTGGATCAGGAAACATTCCAGACATTGCAACAAACTCTGGTATCCTACATTCAATCCGAGTATGTCTATGGGTCGTCAGAATCCAGTGCTTCTTGTGCGTCGACGGCTTTCTTCTTCCCTTGCTCTGCTAAATTTTATGCTAGTCCTTCGCAACAAGTTCTCGCACACTTTGACGCTATTCTTTCTCTGCACCTATATGGAACAATGGCCAACATTTTTCGCTGATATATTCACACTTATACGATCTTCGGAATCATCTTCTTATAATCGACATATCTCCCTCCTCTTCTTTCATATCGTACTAGAAATCTCAGGCGAGGTTGCAGATCAGCTGATAAAAGCTGCCCGACAGTACACTACTATACGAGCAACGCGGGACAGTCGCGTCAGAGATGCTGTAAGGGAGAGAGACGCAGTGAGGATTAATGAGGCGGTCTTAACTATAGTGGCTGAAGGATCGGAGAGGATGGTAAACATTCGCAAGGATCAGGGTTCTTCTGCAAATCGGGAACTAGATGAGGTTACTGAAGTTGTAGACTGGGGTATCAGAACATTCGGATCCTATGTGGGTGCGTGACAAACTATACCTCCAGTTTTTACGGTCTTAATGTTGGCATATACAGGGTGGATTGATATTAATTTGACAATCACGCCAACCACTGTGCCTCTTCTGTTCGCACTGTTGGCTGATCCGTCGTTACCAATCCGACTAGCTACTTGTGTGGCATTGCTACGCATCGTCGCGAAAGGGCTTAAAGAACCTGGCGACAAGCTTCAACTCATTAAAGTCCTCTCTTTGGGACAGGTCATAGATGCTCTCGAAGCCAAGACTCGACAGCAGCAACTGGAAAGAGGCTCGGAAACCGACGAGGGTGAAGAATCGTACCGGGAGTCTTTGGGAAAACTATTCAACGTATTTGGCTTAGAATTAACAAAATTAGAGGTCCGTACTCTCTCAATCTCCTTCAATCTGACACCAGCTCTCATCGTCACCAATAGGATTGTCCCAACGGACAAGTGCGTTCTGAGGCTACCGACTACCTCTCTCAATGTTTACCGGTCCTGCTTCGATTTATGTCTGATGAATATGACGATACGTCCTCCACTGTATTTCCTCTCCTTCAGGCTATTCTTGCAAATGTATGACTACCACTCTTGCCTTTTCTACGAAACCACTGACAATTTTTTTTACAGTACAAGCGCAGTCGAAAAGTCTCTTCAGATCCTATCGATGAATCAAAACGCTCCTTCCTCTCGTCTCTTCTACAAGTTATCTTAACAAAGATGAAATGGGATTCTGAAGCTGATCCTGATGATCTGGACGAAGATGACAATGCCGAGTTTGAGAAACTTCGCAGGGCATGCATTTTGCTAATCATCATACTTTTCACTGACAAGGAACTATAGGAATTACGCAATTTCATGGACTCTGTGTTAATTATCGATCAGGACCTGGTTACCGACTCAGTACGCACTTTGGCGCTGAACACGATGTCCGCCTATCAAAATGGCGTAGTCATGGAGTGGTACGAAGCCGAACTAGGCATTTACATGGTATACATCTTCGGAGAGGTCAACAAAAGTAAAGCCCTTTGAATCACGGATGACTGACAATGCTAAATAGTTGTAATGTAGGCGGAGGGAAAGGTCGTGCCGCCTTCTGTCATACTCCCTCTGTCATAGACAAGGAGAAAAGGAAAGGCACTAACTACTCGGTGTATACCTTGACCACTCACGGGCAGTTATTATTGGCCTTGGTACAATCGGGCTTGTCGGGTTACCCACATCGCACAGTAGCTCTGCAATTCTTCGAAACAGTGACTCGATACACAGACTTCTTCAAAGTACGCAAAGAGTGTATTTTGCCAACCCTTGAGGCCATGGTAGATACGCGGTGAGTCTGAACAACGTCGTCTGAGCCATTTTTTTACCGCCATTCAGGGGTCTTCGCAATTCCAATCAAGCATTTCGATCACGCCTCTCCTATTTGTTCTCCCGATTCATCAAGGAAACTAAAAACGATGTACCACCAGACATCTGTACCACGCTCACTCACAGCATCCGGGATCTGCTTCCTATACAGATTCATATTCCAGAACCTGATGATGTGGAAACGGATATTTTGACTGATGCAGCAAGAGATCCTGCGTTCGATTCCCAACTTTTCCTCTACGAAGCAGTCGGAATCCTTTGCTCATTATCTGCCAAGAGTTTAGATCAGCCTGCAGCACATTTGTTGTCCTTCGTAAAGCCGCTGATGGATAACTTGTCGGACAGTCTTCGGGCTTGCGAGGGGACTCAGGATATAGGACCTATCGTCACCACCCATCATATCATCATGGCCCTTGGTACCATTGCCAAAGGTTATCCTGACTATCCCTCACCAACTCCTCCCGGGTATGTTTTGCCATCGTTGGATGTTTTCACGCAAGTAGCCCAAGCCATCCTGGTATGTTTAGAAAACATGAACGTCTTTAGAATTGTTCGCGATGCGGTGGGTGTTCATATGTTGTTTTAAAACATTTACTCAGCTATTAAACAGACGCGGTTCGCTTTCGCCCGGATTTTAGCGGCTGCTGGACCTGGTGTAACACACTATATCCCTACTCTCATGGGCAATCTACTTGTCCATTTCCAACCAACAGAACTGGTTGATTTTGTGAACTTCATCGGCCTGTTGATTTACAAACTTCAGGTTCGTCGTCTCTTCTATCTAGTAACATCTATGGCTTCATGAATCCGTTCATTCAGAGTGATATGTTTGCTGTGCTCGATGAGCTCATTGGCCCGTTGAGTGGGCACATCGGCAATATATTGACACAACCAATAGGCGATCCGGATGGCCAACGGGCACACCTGGAAACTAAGAAGGCATATTTGGCTCTGCTCAATAGCGTTGTCTCTTCGAAGCTGCACAGAGTCCTCATCTCAGAACGTGAGCGCATGGTGTGGCAGGAAACTGTAACTCTTGCTCATTGTTTCCTTCGTCAGGAAATAATCCTACATTTGAGTCGCTGATGCAATCCATGATTGGCATTGCTGAAGATGCCTCGGACCCTCCTAGCCAAAAGTCCGCTTTTAATTTTCTGAGTCGTTGTGTGACGATCTGGGCCGCCCCTGGTCAGGCAGCCACAATCGGCAATGAATCTGTGGAATCTTTGCCAGGGTTCGAAAGATTTGTGTATGAAAGACTTATCCCGACTGCCTTCCGCGTGCCTGCTGCACCAGATCTAAATGTTAAGGATGGTCAAGTTACGCTGGTATGTCTTTGTGGACTCGCTTCTTAATACACAGGTTTCAATTTTATCGCCAGGTCTTGCAAGAAGTTGCCAACTTCCTGCATACTGTCACTAGAACACGAGGATCTGAGGCTTACGATTATCTCTTGACCGTCTTTCTCCCCTCACAAAATTGGCCATCAGAGATGGCCCTTGACTTCACTACCAAATTGCGGGATCTTGATGCCAGAGGTTTCCGAAAATACTTTACAGATTTTGTTCGTTCCTCACGTTCAAACCCATAGCATTTGCTAGATTTATATTCTTACTGTTCTTTCTTTTGCTTTTCCGTCAATTCGTTTCGCATTATCTACCATTATGTTATCGATACAAAGCTGCCACATGTATTGTGCCATTATTCATATTCATGCTTTACACATGTACTGTTTGCATGCGCATTAAACATTATCATGTTTCCGGAAAGGAGAACTCAGATGATAATTTATTAACATGTGAAGTCCGAAGCAGCCGACAACGCTGCGTCATCGATCGGTAGCTGGGAAATAACAGCCTTCATTCATGGTCACCGCGGCTAGTAGTTGCTTCCTGTGAATCTATTCTTGCTTTCTGCCATGACGACAAGTGCGTGTTCAAAGCTATTTGGATCATGTGTATTGATGCCCTGCAGCACGGCGACTCGGAGGAAGAGTTAGGATCGTACGTGTCCCTTTGCCAATGGTCGAGAAAGAATCTAAGCTATTCTCCCTCCTCAAAGGTAGCGCCACGTCGGGTACATTCATCCATCGATTCATGATACGACTCAGCTGATTCTTTCTCAGCATGGCCCAGAGTTTTCTGCGCAGCAGACATGGTCAGAATTGTCCAAGAACATCAAAGAGATCCAGAACCACAATGCCTGCAACCTTTCATTCGAGGAGAATCACCGTTTCGCCTACAATATGGTCCTCTACCGCCAAGGGGAAATGCTATACAAGGGCGTCAAATCTCTCATATCAGAGAACCTGGAATATCTTTTAAGAGAGCAGGTTGCGCCAGTCTTTCCTTCGGGCGCGAGCCAGGAATCTCTGCAGAAGAGTAACGAGGCCGAAATGCTCTTGAAAGCATTAAAAAGCATATGGGACGACCATCTAGGCAATATGTCGAAATTGGGGCAGATACTCAAGTATATGGTAAGTCATTACTACGGTCAGCGTTGATCATTGCTTCACAAACATCGCAGGATCGCGTGTACACTAAAGCTGCCGAGGTACCAGAAACTTGGGAAACTGGTCTTACGTTGTTCTTAGAACATATCTTTCGCCCGCCGATAAAAGAGCATGTCATAACAGCGATATTAACCCAAATCGAATTTGAGCGCGAGGGATACACTATCAATCGTTCCGCCGTCAAGGGCTGTGTCGATGTTTTCCTCACTTTGCAGACTTCTGCGGGCGGACCTACCGTATACAAGGAGGATCTAGAGCCCGCTCTTTTGAAGAAGAGTCGTTCGTTCTATGAAGCAGAGGGAAAAAGGTTACTTATTTCATGTGATGCTCCCGAGTATCTGCGTCGCGTGTGTTCCGTTTTCTTGTCTCGTTAATGACTTTATCACTCAGCTTCCTCAAGGTAGAAAATGCCTTACAGGCAGAGGAATCCCGTGCACATCACTATCTATCGTCACAAACCGCTTTGCCGTTACGCCAAATACTTCAGGACTGCCTCTTGACAGCACATTTGGGCAATGTCATCTCTATGGAGAACTCTGGTTTGGATGTCATGATCGATACAGACAAGATAGAAGACGTGGCAAGGCTGTTCCGGCTGTACTCGATGGTGCCTACAGGAATGACTTGTCTGAAGCGTGCTCTCAAGGACTCTATTTCCCGACGCGGGCGTGATATAAATCAATCTTCATTGAGCGTCGATTGGGATGAACAAGACGACGCTCAAGGAGATAATTCTAACGGGAAAGGGAAAGGGAAATCCAAGCCTGCCGCTTCAGGTGTACAGACATTGGGTCTCGCTCTCAAATGGGTCCAGGATGTGCTTGATCTTAAAGACAAGTTCGATATTGTATGGAAAAGCGCATTTGGTAGTGACAGGGATCTTGAGAGTGCTCTGAACGAGGTAGAATTATTTAAATCTCTTTAAGTTCTCTATCCGCTGATTCTTGGTTTTAGGCTTTTGGATCCTTCGTGAATGTTAACAGCAGGTGTTCGGAGTTCATCTCCCTCTTCATTGATGATCATCTAAGGAGGGGGTTAAAAGGGGTAATCCAACTTCTCTTACCATTGACAACGGCTGAAGTTCTCGCCAGAAAACCGATACAGAGGTGGATCTTGTCCTTGATAAGACCATCACAGTGTTCCGATTCCTTGGAGAGAAAGATGTATTTGAGCGGTATTACAAGGGTCATTTGGCCAAACGGCTCCTTCTTAAACGGTCCGTATCGGATGATGCCGAACGTGGGATGTTGGCGAAACTCAAGGTTGAGTGCGGCTATCAGTTCACGCAGAAACTGGAGGGCATGTTCAATGACATGAAGGTGTCGATTGACACTATGAACGAATTCAGGAACTATCTGCAAAAACCTGGTATTTCCGTGCGTAAGATTGCAGTATTCTTGGGCAACGTCCTGATCTCATCTTGTATACAGAAACCCTGCATCGAGTTATCTGTTACTGTGATGACAGCAACGTTTTGGCCAATGACCCATTCCAATTCACCTTGTACGATACCGCAGCAAATGAACAAAACATGCAAACAGTTCGAGCAATTTTATCTGTCGCGGCATTCTGGAAGACGGTTAACATGGCAATACTCCCTCGGAAATGCGGATGTACGGGTCAAGTTCAAGCAACGGAAACATGACCTCAATGTTTCGACGTTTGCTCTGGTCATTCTGCTTCTCTTTGAAGATGTGAAAGATGACGATTTTCTTTCTTACAAGGTATGAACATCTTCTTATCTTCAGGAACTAGATTATGGATTTCCGACAGGAAATTCAAGAGTTGACGGCAATAGATCACACCGATCTCAAACGTCACTTGCAATCCTTGGCTTGTGCCAAATTCAAGATCCTGAAGAAGCACCCACCGGGTCGTGACGTTGACACCTCCGACTCTTTTTGTTTCAATTCAGATTTCACTTCTCAACTTCAAAAGATCAAAATCAGCACCGTCTCTTCGAAAGTAGAAACTTCAAGCGAGAGGAGAGAAACGCGAGATCGGATTGATGAAGAGCGACGTCATCAGACTGAGGTATGTGCGTAACACTGGTCGACATCCTCTACTAATGTGGTTCTAAGGCATGCATCGTACGCGTGATGAAACTGCGGAAGCACATGACGCACAACGAACTCGTCAATGAAGTGACACCTCTTCTGGCTGGCCGATTCCAACCCAATCCTTTGGATATCAAGAAGCGGATTGAGGGTTTGATTGAGGTGAGGACTACTTTCCATTTATGTAGTTGTCGTAGTGGTTGATTCTTCATGAAGCGAGAGTATCTGGAACGATGCGAGGATCGTAAGTCGTACAATTATTTAGCATAAATCACACCATCCATCGTCACTGTATCTCAAACCTGTACTGTATAATAAACTTTCCAACCGTGAGCCGGTCGCTGACCTAACCTTTCATCGTGTCCAATGTATGTCGTAAGGGTATCTCGTGCCTGCTCTGTCTTCAATTTGGAAAAGGGAAACATTATATACACGAGTATATATCGGATCCAAGAGTAAAAGGAGGTGACCAGGAATAGTCCACGATATATAAGGCAACATCCAATACCATTATAGGGGGGAAATTGTGTAACAAATGAGTGCGCTCACGCAGTCTGAGAGGGAAGAGATACAAAACCTGCAGCTGCCTGGGCTGCTGTTAAAGCACTCTGCACAGAAGACGGCGAAGTAGTGTTGTTCCAGTTGGATCCTGCCGCCACTACCGTATTATTGCCTACATCACTACCTAATGTGCCGTCTTAGATATTCGATTTAAACAGGAGAAAACAGAATAATACCTGAGAAGCCAAGGTCGGAAGAACTGAGCGAGCCATCTTCATTGACCAGCTGAGAAATCTTGCTAGCAACATTGCTATCAAATCCAACCTGCCGGCCAGATTGGCGGAGCAAGTCGCTGCTGAAGCTGCCAATGCCAGAGGAGAACTGTTCAAGGACGATGGTCTGAACCTCTACTTCGCAGATTTGCTCCGTAATGACTCTGCTCCGATTATGTGGTAAGTCATGACTTGGTAAGGAATACGTCGCAGCTTACTTCTTTACCATCTCCCGAAGAACAACTAGTTTTTGTTGGATGACTTCAATACTCTGGACTTCGCAGACGGTCTGTTCCTCCTGGACCACAACGGTTTGAACATTATTGGATCCGTCAAAGTTACCAACACCATTGAAATCATCGAACCCGTTCAAGGACTGGAAACCACCCCAATTACTCAATGACACATCGGCGTTGCGACCTAGAGACAATTCATAAGGATCGTGCAAGTTCAGAATAATTCAGAACCTACGAATCTCGCGTCGCTGCCACAAAGGACTACTGAGGACAACAGATGCCAAAGCTAGGACCAGGACAAAGGGAGCAAACATGGCAAAAAAACGAAGACGAAGTTAATAGAAAAAGATGGATCTGCTACCTACATGGCGCTAGTGATTAAGGAGTTTGCTCTGCAATAAAGTTCGACTTACCTAGAGCAATCAGAAAGCCGACCGGGGCCAAAAGAGAGAAGACGAATGAACGAAAGGAGAGAAGGAGGGAAACCGACTGCTGCAAGGCAACCAGGCCAAATTTAAAGCGAGGCTGGGCTGGAACGGATGTGCTTATTTTCATGGTTCGTCTCTCACTGTCTTAAATACCAAGGCCAAATTCTCTTGGCACAGAATATAATGGGTATCCATGGAGATCACAGTTTGTATACAAGTCTGAGCCCGCCAACCCCGCTGGAAGTTGGAAGGGTGTACTCGTTGATCCTTCCTTGGTAACTGAACGGGTGAATTACTGGGACCGTGGGACGCGGGACGTTAGTAATAGCGTGACTGCTGGGAATATTTCGTAGAAAGCACTTACTGAGCTTTCATTTGGCTGCCTAAAGCAGTGATAATGTGATCGATCCTTTCGTCGAAAGTCGAGAATCGAAAATCAGTCGCACACCTACTTGATGCTACTAATTCATGTTTGCAGCGACAGGTGAGTCACCTACGGCACCGTGGCGTTCTCGGGCAGAGAGCGGAAGTATTCGTCACAACTTGATGAAAGGCTAGAAAAGCGCCAAATTTCCCAACCTTGAGTCAGGTGAAAGCCAAGATATAGAATACACGTTGTCGGACGAATCACGTTTCCACCCAGTTACTTAGCAACTACCTCGAATGGCATCTCGGAGATCTGATCAAATATTTATAGATTGAATATAGACCCACCACGTTCTCTTTTCCGTCTCCGGATCCTTCTTACCGGAACTCGATGTGTTGCCAACGATTTTCGTCTGATTTATTCACGTATAAGTTGCTCATAGTGTAGAAAACTGACCAATTTGGATGACGAGTGCATACTTACAAGCTCTTTACTCGGAGAAAGCCGACTCGGAGTCACTGAACCTTGGCGTACTAATGGATAGGGGAAAAAAGAGACCTGCCTATCTTCAATGGAGATACTGACGATCTATCAGTTTTATTGAGAGTCATTTCGTTTCTGTGCTTTGCTGATAACGATCACTTTGGCTGCTGGAGATGTGAGCTGAGGTGGGATCAATAAGGATAGATTGCAGCGCGTTAGGAATACAATGGTAGAGGTCTATAATGCACTCTATAGCTCGTCATGCGTTGAACCAGCAGACGCGAATGCTTCCATTAATTCTGTTACACAGGTAAGCAAACTTCGCCATTGTAGATGGTGATGATGCTCACTTTTCCGAAGCTGCGGAGAAAGCTGTTTTGGTAGGACCACATTGTATTCTACGAATAGGTCTCCGTGAAGATGACGGTTCTCGAATCGTGGCATACCTTCTCCCTCGATGACCTCAACAAAGCCTAACATCCGTCAAAAGATGAAGAGGTGCATCGACGGTGACTTACCTGGCTGCGTTACACCTTTGCGCTGTAGCCTAACAATATGACCGTCTAGATGAGTTAGGTTTCGATCAAAGCCTAAGAGCGCCTGGTGGACTGTTACCGGGTTGAGAAAAGGACAGGGTAAGTTAGATCGAACCTCATCAATACCAATGGTTTCCTTCCAGTACAGACTTGTTTCCTTTCGCCTCCAACCACCCTTGCTCTTGCGGCTTCTCACTCTCAAAACGACATCTCCTGCTTCCCAGTCCGGACTCTCGTCACCTTCACCTTCAAACACCACTTCGTGCCCCTCCGGCATGCCAGGGGTAACCTCAAGCGTATAATGCGCAGTGTGATCCGTGACTTTATGACCGTCGCAATGAGGGCATTTACGTGCAATAACCTTGCCTCGCCCACCACATTCATTACATGTTGTCTGGCTCTGTGCAAACATTCCCGGGAAAATCTGTCACCGAAGGATCGATCATACAGATTTAAAGAGCGTGATAGCTGGGCACACCTGCTGCTTGACGAGTTTCACACCGGAACCCCCACATCCCGAACATGTATGTATGTCGCCATCTGTTGCAGCGCCCGATCCTCTACAATGGTCGCACAATATCCGCTTCTTGATCATGAACTATTACGTTATTAAGTGTGACGCGTCAAACAGGTCCACAGGGAAATACTTGCATCTATGCTTTGGCCCGTGTATCTGTGGAAAGGAACAATTAGATAAATTCTGTCGTGGTTTACATTTACGAACGCACATATCAGCGAGGTCTACTTCAAATTCGGTTACAGATGTCGGGCCACGACGTACTTGACTTGATGGATCTATAAGGAACGTCCATTTGAGCAGAGAGATTGAAACATTTAGATCGTTACTCACATCCTCCACCAAAGAAGCTCGAAAACACGTCGAATGGATTTGCTTGACCCTGGCCTCCTTCATGGGCCTTTAATCCTTCCTAAGAGCAGATTGAACGCGACATAAGAGGCTTAATGAAGGAGTTTGATTACCTCGCCGTGTCGGTCATATATTTGGCGTTTCTGCAAGAAGTGAGCGATCTGTCCAGGGTCAAGGAGCAAGGTGGAACGCACGTTTGGATCCGAGAGAACTTCGTAGGCTATCCCGATGGAGCATAAATACGTGGAAGGCTTGCGCAGAGACGAGAGACGCACCGTGAGCTATCTCAACGAATCTGTCCTCCGCATCGGAATCTTTGTTTTTGTCCGGATGAAATTTCCTGCTCAGTTTCTTGTAGGCATGCCGTATGTCCTTGTCTGACGCGGATTTATGTACTAGGGGGAACATTATTAGGCACAATGCAGGAGACAGGTTGGGACATACGGTCTAGTACTTTATAGAGGTCGGCGGCAAGGGCAAAGGAAGAGAGTAGGATAATCGTGAGCCCTAAGACTGAGAACATGACAACAAGGAAGAAGACACGGAAGAAGATGTAATGCCTGACCACAATATCGTTCCCGGGACACGTATCTATTTTGATCACGTGAAGATCCACAAAATTATTTTCTTGATCAAAATGATTGTAATTTGCTATTTCTTTTTGTGACTCACATGGCGGACGAAAAGTACGAACTCATTACCAGGCGTCTTCAGGAGGTTCTTGGCGGCGACCTCATTAAATCAATTCTTGCGGATGGACGTTCACCTAAATGCTACTGGGGTGAGCAGCGATGTCCTTCCGGCTTCTACCATTTCTGATGAGACTAGGGACCGCGCCCACAGGACGACGTGAGTGTTGTGGCCTCCGGTAATCGAATAAGTGATTCACCTTTCATCAGCTCATCTGGGATATTTCGTGCCCTTGACCAAGATATCTGATTTCTTGAGAGCAGACGTCGAGGTATGTTCCCCCGCGTTCGATCTTTAATAGATCTCTCATGTTTGATTTCAAGGTCACCATTCTCCTGGCTGGTATGGCATATGTTTCATCAACCCGTATTTTGGGCTGATTGTCATTCAGATGTACACGCTTTCCTCGACAATCTCAAGGCACCTCTAGAACTCGTCGCCTATCGGACAAAATACTATCAATTCATTCTCCTTGCTGTATTCAAGTCTTTGGGCATACCCGTATCGAAATTGCGATTCGTCGAAGGGTCGTCGTACCAATTAACAAAGGAGTACAATCTTGACAATTACAAGCTTTGTGCTACAGTCACCGAACATGACGCAAAAAAGGCCGGTGCCGAGGTTGTGAAACAGGTAGAGAGCCCTCTGCTTAGTGGTCTTTTATACCCCGGCCTCCAGGCTCTCGATGAGCAGTACTTGGGAGTTGACTTCCAATTCGGTGGTATCGATCAGGTAAGTATGGGTGCACCGTTTGTATCCATCCCCGACTTAGGCTGATCCACTTAGCGGAAAATCTTCACCTTTGCGGAGCTTTACCTACCCAGACTAGGTTACGCGAAGCGTGCACACCTCATGAATGCTATGGTTCCCGGTCTTGCTGGAGGCAAAATGTCCTCATCAGATCCCAACTCGAAGATCGATTTCCTCGACTCTCCTGAGCTTGTCCGGAAAAAGATCAAAGCGGCATTTTGTGAGGAAGGGAACGTTGAGGATAATGGCGTTTTAGCATTCACAGAGGCAGTCCTGTTTCCTATCAGCGAACTGCGACGAGACAGGCTAAAAGAAGGTGCGGAAGGCACATCAGAAACCTCACCATTGTTCACAACACCTGATGCTCCCGAGGGCACGTTATTCACAATCGACCGTGACGCTAAATTCGGCGGACCAACTCACTACGCCAGTTACATAGACATGAAGGCTGACTTTGCGTCTAAGGCCCTTCATCCCAAGGACTTGAAGTCCTCCGTCGCAGCTGCAATCAATGAGCTCCTGAATCCCATCCGGAAGAGTTTCCAGGAGAATGACGAGTGGCAGAAGATCGAGAAGCTGGCTTATCCCGATCCCAATGCCAAGCCAGAGAAAAAGAAGAAAAAGGTGTGCCTCATCGAAACAAATGTAACTATGAAATACAGAACTCCTACAGGAAAAAGTGTACCATCCACCGCCTCCTGGTAAGGGAAAGAACGCCCAGCCTGTGGAGCAAGTGCCTACGAGCGAGCCGACGGCAAACGGCCAACCCGCAGGCACACCCGCATTATAGCGTAGGCACATAGTCGATATCATTAAGAAACTACAGGAGGATAGAAGTCGAAAGATGTCGTTTGTATAACCACGAGCCTGTTGCATGCTACTGTAGACTTTGGGCCGATGAGCCACTCCCAGAATTGCAATGAAATCACAAATTGCACCAGATATATGCAATCATACACAGGTAATAAGAATAACAGCAAACATTAGTCAGTCATGTTCTGGATCTTGATCTCCCCGTCCCTTTGCGAACAAGTTTGTTGCTCACTTTCTTCATGACTTTTGGTCTGAAGTTGATGCTATAGGACTCTAATCGTAAAAATGCATTGACGCCTTGCCCCATCTAATAAAAGAGGTTAATATAGTTTTAATGACCGCAAAGGAAACTAACCCGTAGATACTGAATGTGCCATCCGCCTGCGTTTGGCAGAGACACCTCCGTGAACACGTCCAGGAAGATCAGCTTTGCAAAGAGATGTTCAACGAGTTCCTGACTCAAATGACTACCAGCACCACGCAGTGAATGGTCGAATCTCTGGAGATTGGCACGTTCCGAGCCTCTGAAGATCGAGCGACACTGATCCAAGGTTACGCTGTCGTTTTCAAGAGACCTGACAAGCTCGATTGCATCGTGAGCCTCTTTCGTCATGTTGTATGATTCCATGGCCTCCCGGTTGGCGCAGTTATTGCATCGACGCCGACAGTTTTTAACGTCAAATTTCTCCCCGAAAAATTGAAGAAGATGGACGCGCCGACATTCAGAATCGTTTTCGCAATATTGCATGACCTCTCTCACTTCCTGGATGGCATTTTCTATTTGCTCACGGGTAGAGCCTCGTTCTTCGCAGTTCTTGGTGATCATCGTCTTTGCGTTGTGGAAGTCGCCATACGAATAATCTGCCTATATATGAGCACATTTCGGAGAAAAGGCATGTAACGTACACAGTATACAATCTGCAGGCAAACCATCGCGACCTGCACGTCCAGTTTGTTGATAGTATCTGATGAGTTGGTCAATCAGAAGTACAGAATTTGAGAGCAAGAGATTAACCCGTCGAGACTCGTAGGCATATCATGATGGATGACGAACCGGACTGCAAAAGCTTGTCAAACTCAGAAAAACATTTCAATGACTGTGCTTGCCGTCGGGTTTATCGATGCCCATTCCAAAGGCGATCTATAAGCCGTGTTTTAGCGACAGGAGGGGTCAGAACAGACCCACCACTTACCGTTGCAACAATGATGTGGCATCGACCCGTTTGCCACCCAACTTGTATTCTTTCCTTATCTGACTCGTCCATCTTCGCATGATAGTGTTGTGCACTTAGCCCTTTCTTCTGAAGCTCCCTAGCAATCTTTTCGCACTTATCTCTGGAAAGACAATAGATTATGCCGGTTTGACCACGATGATTCTCCTGTACATATCTGTAGATTTCGTTGATCATGTTCTTCTTCTTGGGTGTAATTACGTAGTTGAGGTTTGTACGATTGAAGGATTGAGAGAACAGAGCTGTGTCTTTGAGCTGTAATTTGGCTAAGATATCGTCGATCATCTTCTGATTGGCAGTGGCCGTCAAAGCCATTATGGGAACGTTTGGGTAGTTGCGACGGAGTGAGCCCAATGATTCATACTGAGACGGATAACTTACATTCAATACCATTAATATGATATGTTCATACACTCACCGCTGCTCGGAAGTCTTTACCCCACGTTGTGATGCAATGAGCTTCATCGATCACAAACCGTGCAAGCTGTCCACGGTCGTATAGGTCCGATAAGATAGTTTGTACGGAGCCACTTTCCTTCAGCTTCTCTGGTGTTATATACACGAGGTTTGGCTTCACCGCCCCTCTAAGGCGCTGAAAAATATCCTTGGTATCACTGGACCCGGGGCTCCACCGCAACACGTCGACACCCTTCTCTTTCAAAGCGTCAACTTGATTCTGCATGAGAGACCTGAGAGGTGACACAACGAAGGTGACACCTTTAGTTCGGCCACCTGAACAGACAGCAGGTAGTTGATAGCATAAGCTTTTTCCTCCACCAGTTGGCATGAGTACAAAGACGTCCCTGCCTTCCATAGCAGCGATTACTGCTGCTAGCTGATTCTGTCGGAAACCCTGGAGGCCATATACGCTCTTAAGTTTGTGCGTAACCTCTTTATGATACGGGCTTTGCTTCAATACCTCTAAGGCCGGGTCACCGGTCTCGGTAGCTGGATCGGGGATGAGGGAATCATCCGCTTCGCCGGATTCGGGCAAATCCTCGAAGTCGTCCCATAATGCGTCGTCGTTATCGTCAATTACTAGAGAAGAGTCTGATGGGGCTGCCGCAGAGCGGCTAGATATTCTCGATGAGTCGTAAGATGAATCGGGCGGCAAGCTCATTTCCGAACTTGCTACAGCACGGCTGCTTTGGAAATAAGGAGAGGATATGGAGGCCTCAGAGTCGTCTCCAACGTCTTTACTAGTCTTGACAGTGGCAACGAGTTCCCGGATACTTTCTATACGCCTGGACAAGAGGTCACTAAGCGGGATATCAGAAACTTGGAAGAACATAGATGAACAGAGATATTGACATAGGAAACCTACCGAATGGCTTCCAAAGTGATTATGTCGACACTTTCATCGTGAACGCGATGGTAATAATCATCTATCGCTATCGCGTTTTCTTTGTGCATCGCCTCGTTATAGATCAACATCTTTGCCAGAGCTGGGAGTGATTTCTGCCAATATTACGTCAGAATTTTAGGTACAGAAAGGCGCAAATATTCGTACAGATGCATTTTCAGAATGGGAAGATGACGATGATTTGAATGGTTCTAATAACGTTCTAAAATCCTTTTCTACTCGAGAAAAGGGATTCGGGTCGAAATCCCCATCCAAGTCCATATCCAGCCAGGGCGCATCCTCATTGTTATCTGGTGCGGAGGGCAGAGAGCGTGGTACGCGCTTTATGTTGGATTTGACCCCATCCGGTTCCAGAATGGGATTGACGCTTGAATGTGCCACATTCTCCTTGTTGGACTCTACAATTTTAGACCGCTTCATAGAGTGTGTTTCTGTGATCGCAGCGCGCTTAATGCCTGGAGAGGAAACATCCTGAATTACGTAAGTGACCTCTGGGATATCCGTTTGTCGTTCCACCTGAACGTGGTTCAGAGGGCCAATCTTTGATTTCCCAAATCCCGGTGTAGAGAAAGATGGTAGGGAAGGCACTCTGTGTACTACAAAAAAACTGAGAAAAGGGACTGAGGAGCAAGCGGAACACACCTGTACTTGACACCGAATATGAGGATGATCCTGTGGCAGGCTTGAATTTCGAACTCTATGTCGAGTTGAAGTAACGTCAATGCTAGGGTTAAACCAGAGCCGCGCGACGTACACTGGTGGACGACTTAGGTCTTGAAGGTAAAGCATTAGAACCCAGCGTTGAAGAATTGCTGGAGCGTTTCCGAAGAACATCTTGGAGGTTGTTCTTTGGACCAGACATGAAAGAACGGAAAAGCATCTGCCGTGACGTAACTGCGTGACCAGTAACACAAGCAACGCGTCGGGAGGAACAGGAACGCGGCGACGTGTTTAATTACACGTGACACTAGCATTCGTCTTTAATGATAAGTAAATAATAATAACCGTCTTGCTAGGCTAAATAATAACTAAGATTGCTACAGATCTAACGGAAGTGAGATGTTTTAGTTCTTGTAGATATGTCGGCAAATCCCGGGCTGAGCCAATGTCGATAACTTCGATCCTGTTTTCAGGAAGGTGAGGATGCGATTTATAAATTACAAAGCCTATAAGAATAGATGGTCCGATATGTATAATAAAGCTACAGGCAACAAGAAACAAAGCAAGCGTGTCCTCAGTAATGGAGTATGGAGTGGGGCCACGCCAGAAATCCAGCCGGGTGGAATACCAAGCGTAACAGAAGCTATCGACGCTGTGGAAGTAATAGTAGTAACGACACCAGAGGTGTCGGTTATAATATATGTTTCCAATGCATTTGTTGGAGCTATTGTAGGCATTGCTGATATATTGGTGGCATATTCCGCGAATATGGGGCTGTATGTGCTGTTGGCGAGCTCGGTAGAAACAATTCCGCCTGTGGGTGCACTGAATGACGAGTTGAAGGTATAAGGTGGTGTCGTGTAGGTGGGCGTTGATAGGAGAGAGTTCGGTAATGTTGTAGCCACTGTGGCCGATGCAGAAGAAAGGAATGACGAGATCAACGCTGCGGACTCCGTGGTATTAGTGGCGTTTTTAAGTGGATAGAATCCTATCATGGGCGGCTCCTTGGTATTGATCCCGTAGCTAAACAGTGATAAGACGTATTCTCATCAACAGCTATAACAATGCACTTTACCTGAAGGCGGCGTAAACGGTTCTCAGGAAAGGTACCCCTGTAAAGGGATAAATAGTTACAGTGAGCGTTAGCGACGGAAAAAAATACCTACCCATCTGCCAATCAATGCCATCCGGGCTAGGCGACGTGGCGCCCGGCCAAGACAAACAGAGATCCGGATTATCAGAAGCGGGCCCGATAAGATAATCAGTAGGCTGAAGGGTAAGAGTCTGTTCCCTGAACAATTCTGTCAGACATGAAGACCAGTACAGAAAAAATAAACGGCGTACCCAAAAGTAAAGGATATAGGAACCAGCGTATCACAGGGTATAGCCCATAATCCTACTGAAACGCGAAAGTTTCATGTTGATAGCTATGACCAGGTGTTCATGAAACTCACGATTGGTGTCAACCAGTCGCGAACCACTAATCGCAGCAAATAGACGCGATACCTGTCATACGATTGAGGACTTGACATATCGGAACTAGTTCGGGCTTACATCTGGATAAGGTCCATAAATACCATTGTTTCCACTGCGGTGATTGAGTTGTCTGACTATAGCAGAGGTAAGTAAGGCTTACACATCAAACATTGCCAGAGACGCGTTATTCGTTATGTTTGGGTATGTCGGCGAGGGCACCAAAGACGATCCGTTGACCTGACGACTTGTTGAGGGTTTAAGAATACATGAAAAGTCCACTCATACCGCGAAACTATCCAGAGGGATGGCCCATTGCAGGTAACTGGATACATTGCTCGTCGTGCCAATAGGTGCGAATTCTACGACCTTATGCCAGCCGACATCGGTAACGTTGGTGACGACAGATGAATCAATAGCGCCTAAGAAGCGGTTATAAAAAAATTGTTGATAAGATGGCGGAGTATCGTGCCTATAGAAAGCGAGCCTGTGTCATTGCGAGTGAGACTCAAGCCGAACACGGGATAATTCAAGACGCCTTGCTGCGCCAGCTGGACGAAAAAAGGCGTAGCTAAATGATATGGTCATTTAGACACTGGTATATAGATTAAAAAGACATACAATTCGTAACGGTGCTAGAAACACTAGAGAGTCGAGGAAAACCAAGTCCGAATATGCCACTGATATCGTCGGAAAGTGTTACATTCGACGAAGTCATCAGGCCTATCAAAGTCATTCGTGACCTAAGTATATCTGACGTTTCAAAAGAAACTGAACCAACCAAAGACTTGATTCGAGACCGTCAGATTGGCTAGCTGAACGGTTTCTTTCGCGACGAAGCCTTCAGCGCCTACACAGAGGTGAAGGTAGAGCTATAGTGCAACAAAGCGTAACGTACCAGTTCCATCTGAATAACTGACACTGAATGTTGTTGAGTTGTTGTTGACCGAAACGAAAGTACCACTCTCGTATTGCAAGGGGTAGCGTGGAACAGCTTTGCAGACGTCCGTGGTGCATTGAGTAGATACTAGCCATAAATCTGCGGATGCGGTATCTAGTGCTACCCGAAAGGTCGTCGCACCAACGTTGAGGAGGGCAAAATATGCTCTGTTCTGTTGAGCGAGATTCATGACACATAACCAATTGACATACTGAGTAGTACTGGCCATGCCGACGGCGGTGATGCCAGCATGTGCGCCATTGACATTGTCGTCTCGACGAGCATACGATTGAAGAGGAAGGATGAATGGTTCAGATCTGGCCGCATACCGAGCAGCAACAGTGACCGCTTGAGTGAAAACAAAGACCCAGACACGGGTCGTGAAGGCAGACCACATTATGGACTACCAAGACTTGGTATACATCCGAAATGAAAAGCAAAGTTCCGGAAGTAATTTAGGTATAAAACAAAGGGGAGATGCAGGTGGGAAAACACTGCCATACTCAAATAAGTCCGCAGTCCTGATGAAACTGTCAGGGCGGCGGAAACCGTGCGGCAAAATAGCCGATCAGCGCATAGAATATACAATTCCTAAGTTTTTGATGTTACAGAGTAATCGACAAGAAGTTTTAGTACCTGTAGTACAGGGAGACTAGTACATCTGACGGGAAAAGATGGTCAACGATATCCCGCCAAAAAAGAAAACAAGATATATAAGAAGAGCATATGAGAACCACAGTAAAAATATGAACAAGAACGAAAGTTTAAGGATAGAATAAAAAGCGTATAACAGTCATCGCTTGGCAAATACCTTCTTCAGAAGGCCAAGCACTTTAGGGACATTCAATTGAACATACTCCAAATCCAGAAGGTGCTTATTATCCTTTTGCTGTGGAAGAATGTCATTGTCTAGAACTACCATTGAAGATGTGTGCAAACCTTCTCAAGTAGATCATCAATCTTAAGGTCCATCTCGAGGATTGCTCTCTCTCTACCCTTGTAGTGGAGAGCGATAATAAATGTCCCTGGTGTAGGTGATGTTATATTGAAATAGATATTGGGTCGTCTAACCAGTGAAAGCCGACGTAAGCGAAACGTAAAAGACAGATTTGATGGCCACTGACCGATTATCGGGTACATTGCTCTCAACTATGATACCCTCTTTCTCGAGTTGCGCATGAGTGAATCTATACGGCCCCAAAACAACAGCCTTAGCCGGTTTCTTCTCCTTGCCTCCGACGGTGAGGACGCCTACTCCAGTACTGCTGCCCTTGTCTTTTGACGCAGTCAACCGTACGTTCTGAAGATAAGCTTTATACTGCTCTAGCTGTGAGCGCATGTAATTGTTGTGGTCGCAAATCGTCTTGTAGACAGCCTCCAATGACTTCGTCTCCAAGAGGACTTTCTCTCGCAAATTGCCTAGATGAACGAGTTCGGCCGCAACTTCATCCTGCATGAGTTTGTAACCATCGGCCTGTTCAACGATTTTCTGTTCTTCCAACTCCCGCAGCATCTCCTTGACTTTGATGCCTTTCCGTACGAGAGTGGCATCTTTGGTCGTCGCAGCACGTTCCGCAATAGCAGCTAGATTGTATGGTTGTTTCTCAACAGCGTGAGGTATCGATCGAATGAGTTGGACAAAGATCGATTTCGTTTCCATGTATAGCATGTCACTTGACGACACCGTATCCATCAACGCGCTTTGAATATCTTGAACGGGCGTCTCCCAACGGCTATATAGATTAAGTTCGATGGTTCGATTCTCTTTGCGGGGAACCTGGGGCGGCGCGGGACCAAGTTCGTCAGTCAAGATGCGGAGGTGGTGCTTATCGTTAGGCGACTGATAGACGGTTAATGGCTTCCTGCAGTATCAAGAAATGCGCCGTACCAGTGTTTCGACATGTTGCAGGATAAGAGAATGCGTATTGTACAGTTCGTTCATAGTGATGTGAATCATCAAATCTTTCTTGGACAGCGCCATGTATTGATCCATCTGCAAAAACGGTGAGTCAGATGCTTAAAATTAGCCGCAAGAGCCACGTATACCTCAAGTGTATCAAAGAAGTCGCCTACTTCACAAAGATTGTTCAAAAACTGGTTGATACGGGCTTTGTTGTTTTCGACGAAAGGATTAAGAGTCATCATGTAGACTTCCTTGGCATACGACGGCTTGTTTGCCAGATTTTGCAGCATCTTTGCAATCTAAACAGATATTAAGGAGCAACAGCAAAAAGCATTCCAGTCGAACTAACCAACGTCAATGTCCGCCTTGGATGCTTCGCCGGAACTCCTTCAACAAGCATATATGCTTGCGGCGTTACGATTGCAGGATTGATGAATCGAAGGAAGAAAAATCCGCCGATTAAGGAGCAGATAGCGTAATCAGTTGCCTCAGGATATTTTCGCTAATTGCACAGCAGACTTAGCTGTGATATTGTAGGGAATAAGTTCACTCACCCGTGTTAGACTTCGGATCTGTTTACAGATCCAGCGAATACCGTAAGGAACACTCTCTAGGCTCTCGATAATGGTTAAAAGAAAACTGTTGGCAATCTCCATGAGCATTGTTAAGCGCGGTGCAATGATCGCTTGAACATCAAGATTTTCGGCAGCAACTTCCGGGGCCACGCCGCGGGGAAGATTTGGCGGAAGGGACCCAGTCTCTTCTTCGATTTGGTTGATCATTTGTTCGTAAACCTGCACACAGTCAAACAAATGTCAGCGATGTCCAGAGAAGAGAGAACGGAAATGACCTTGACAGGATTGATTTCCAGATTGAGATCTTTATGCTCAATCAAGCTATTGATACGTTCCGCGAGAACGCTCTTGAGATAGCTCTGTCCTGGACCCCGCCGGGTATAAGTAGTCATCATTCGAGAGACAGGGGTATTGGCGCGAAGGAGAGAGCCAAACTCTGTGGCAGTCTCGAACTGCGCAGAGAGAACCGATTGGAACATCGTTAACAGGAGATGCTCTTCTCTGCTTTCATATTGGTTGCCGTACAGCGTAAACATGACCGTTTGAAGGAGGGTATCAATCTCAGACAGACTGACAAGACGACAGAGAGCGGCGATGTGTCGAGGCTCTGACTGAAGGAGGAAAAAAAGGTTGGAATATTGCTGTAGCCTTCGGTCGTCTGGGTAGTGTCCTTCGGTGGGATCCACTTCTTCTAAGGTTCTCTCGACTTCACGTTGCTGGATAAAATTCTCATTGAAGCAGCAAGGGCATTGTGAGAACAGATGGTACACACCTCATCCAAAGCCATCCGATTCTGTATCAATAAGGCGATCCGAGAGTCAAGATATCGCACGTCACGCTCGAGGACAAAGTTCTTCTTGGACTGCGCAGAAATTTTGCCTTTCAAGTCGCGAAGACGCTTCTGAGCTGTTCAAACAGTTGTAAGTGACATTTTATAGCTGGAAATGAGGTGGACCTTAGACTACGCACCTCTGGCCAATTCATCCTCGACTTCAACATCCTGCTCAGCAGCCATGCTAAAGAGCGCTGTTACGCTGTAGCGATTGGTGTTTCGATTGGTATGCCGCCTCCCAGACATGCTACCAGGTGATCCGGGTTGGTCAGGATAGGACATGATGGTCGTTTAAGAAAAAATGAATAAGAATATTGGAAGCTGAACAAGTGCTGTTTGCGTGATGCGATTGGAGTAATCGGGATGACAAAAGCAGCGCCAGTGCCTGTGAACCTGCAACAGCAAAAGTACTTCAAAAAAATGAGGAGAAACGAGGGGTTTGGGTATCAAGACAATGGAGAACGATGAATATGAGTGTCCTCGCCGCAAGCACAGCCACACACCTGTCAACATCGCAATCGCAAAATGCCGGCAATCGGTACATTATTGTCTTCCAGCGCTTATTTCGATGATACCGCCGTCAACGACTCGCGGCAGTCTTGTTTCTGAGTAGTTGCTTCCTCATCATGCATCATGTACTGGTTTAAGATGTTACGATGAATACTTATTCCTGTCTGCCAGTGCAGGAAGGAAGATATCGCTCTCTGAGCTAGTAGTAGCCTGGCGAATTCGCCTTTTATTATATACTCGCCGAACTCGTATCTGTGAGCCAGTCGCCTCATGTGCAGAATCTATTTCAGTTATTCTGCTCATGTCCAATGCGACTCCGATTCCATCTTTCTATCTTAATGCCATTCAATAAACGATCCTACTTTTAAGACATGTTTGCAAGACGCCTCAGATACTTGCGATCGGTTGCTCTTGTTTCATCTTTGATGCTATATATGCATTGGCGACGGGACGCCGCCGGCACGCTTTCCGAAACAATCTTTACAGAAGTACATCCGCTGCATATACGGAGATACTAATACTTCGAAGACGCTAGCTGAGTTGATCCCAAATGTCAGGGCAATGTAATAAATCACAGATGGAGGACTCATACTGCCGAGTCATACCGTACACTACCTTGAAAGACGTGCGTTTAATTCATTAGACTTGTATCGTACTTTTTGACAGAATCAACATAGGAGGAAAAATGGTAGGACAAAAACGAAATTTGATGCAAGAGACTAACTTATTAATGCATGGGATATGGTTAACCGGAAATGCGCCTTCTTTCCACTGACCGTTCGTACCGTTGTATTTGACTCTATAGCCATAACCCAGCTGTTGCGCAATCATCAACTTTACATCCAGTCCAAATCACTGTGACTTACTTTATCGAAAACAGATAATACGCTAATGATTATACCAATGACCCATTTGCAGCCTTCAATCTGGACTTGGACTTCTTCTTTCTGTGGATAATTGAGCAGCATCAGTCTTTCATCTAGGCCCAAAATGACACATACAAGACTAAACAATTTTGTCTGTGGCGATGGCATGATGTTAATGAATAGTAGAGGTACTGGTCGAAACATATCACACTGGTGGCTGTTGACTGCACAGGAGTTTTTGGATTCTGAGGAGAGGAGGACAAAGCAAGGCATCCAGAAGAAGAAGAACTGGGAGGCTCATATAAGCACTGAGGCATAGCTGTTGGGAGAGGACTCTGTTGACCATAAGAAGTCACAAAGGCACTATCTCACTGAAGGGATGTGCAAGATGGGGGGTTTCATTCATAGGAACAAGGTGATGGTCTTCATGGCTCTGGGGAGGAGGGGGGACAGCAGCCAGCAGAAAGATTGTAGCATGCCATGACACATTGAGGGGAGAGAACTAGCTAGGACCTTGGGTCTTTATTATCCTTTAAAGGTATCACATCCACTCCCAGTCTATTCTTGAGATCCAGCTGCAGATAAGTATTGTGCAAACACAAAGTGCACCCAAAAAAATCTAGTCCTAAAGGTATAGACACAGCATTTTCAATCCAATAGATGCTCATGCTGGCAGACAGTCTATAGTACTTATGATCAAAGAAACAGGACTGAACCTCACAGTTGGATCAGCCTGTTTCTGTGAGCCATAATATCATGTGCAAATATAGTACTAGATGGAGGATTCTGATGAGCCATTGGAGAATGGGAAGGAGATTAGAGTGGCTATGGTTCTAGTAGCAGAGTCTATCAGCATTCTGGAGCTTGACAAGCATATCAAGAAACCAATGTCTATAGCAGATCCAGAGGAGGAAAGAATATTGAAGCCAAGGCAGAGGCAGCTGAAGAGAGAGTTGGAGGCAAGGGAAATTGAGTTAAGAGAGAAGTTGTTGGAGGAAGTGGTGTCAACAGCAGAGCCATCAGGATTGACTTTGGAGAAAAAGGAGAAGTTGGTGAGTGTCATGATTTTAGCCCCTAATCATGATCTGCTGATGCTTAGTAAGCCAACACTTTTTTTATTTTTTTTTTGTGAAACATTTGATATGATTCCATACACCCCACATGGCAGAGGTCTTCTGACCAGTGGTTGGCATGCCAAGGATATTGTACTCAGCCTGTTAGTAAGATGAGGTTCATAATCTTGTAGGATAAGAGAAAGAGGAGAGATTTAGATAGCTACTTAGGTTATGTTCTTCCTCTATCTGAAGACTTGTATTTTGCTGATCACATGAGATAAATGCTTTTACACACTGACTTTCATTCACAGATCAAGTCATGTGTGTGTTGGATTAGCAAGCAGAAGCTCCATCATATCCTGCTGGCTGAGCTTGATACTCCTTTATATTGGGATAGACTATATATATTGAATATAGTCCATCAAGCACCCTCACCATGTTTCTGTTTATTGCTACACTGTGTGAGAGTGAGTATCTACTTATATTACTTCATTTATATTACTGATCAGTATCTTATAGTCTATATTATAGCTAACAGTATACTTTATTAGATACTGTTACAATTTTTGCACTCTTTTATTCTTTCCCTCAATTAACCTCTATTTATGCTTAGTTAGGGTGCTTAAAAACAAGTGCTTAAAACCATGAGATGAGGCTTAGTCATTATAACTAGGCCAAGTTGGTCATTGTCTTTTGATGTAACAGCATTGTCTGATGATGCACAATCAGTCTTTTATATATAGTAATGATGCCCAAGGACAAAGGGCACAATGGATGTGACAACACACAATAGGTAGTAGTATAATTAGCACAGACTTGTACAGTATTTAAAGAGGCTCACTCTCACTAGTAATCCCCAGCTTTGAGCTAAAGTTTCCTCTTATACCATTCTATCCTCAAGCCAATCTTAAGGCCTTATGACATATCAATCAGTGTACACATTAGTGAACTCAGTTGATCACCTGAAGTGCAAGGTGACTTCTGTTTATCACATGTATCTGTTTATATGAGCTTGGGTCTAACAATTAGCTTGAAGCTTCTCCTTTCCTTTTCTCACATATTATAGTGTAAAGGAAACCAAATGCCTGCTATCAACATATCAGATCTGAATTTCGATTGAGAGTTCTTCAAACTCTTAGTCTCTATCATTGGAACACTCTTAAGTCTACTTATAATTATCCAGCTGTGCTGAGAATATCACTCAATTACTGCCTGGGCTATCTGACACTATAATGAATTTTAACACATTAGACACATCCTTTGTAATATCATCTCTGATCTACCTCTCTATGACATCCTAGAATCCCAATGAACAACCTACTAGCCCTCAAGCCTCATACCCAAAGCCAGGCTTAGCAGCTTGCATCAGAGAGATAGTCAAGAAGAAGAGGGATACTAATACCCCTCTCAACTCATTAGCAGAAACAAAGTCAATTGGCTCACAGGATTCAGGAACCCATGGATTCCTCCTCTCATTCCCAACTGAGAGGATGAGAATCTTTCAGAGGACTTCTTTCAGCAGTCTCCCTCTCCTGATCCAGCTACTGCCTTCTCAACCTCTGGGGTTGGCAACTGTGCCAGAGATTTCATATTACGATTTTCCCTTCTTTTTCTGGAATTAACCCCTATTTATGCTTAGTCAGGGTGCTAGAACAGGTGCTCAAGACTGTGGGACAAAGCTTAATTATCACAATTAGCCAAGTCCATCATTGTCTTTTGATGCAACAGTGTTGCCTGACAATGCACAATCAACCTTTTATGTACAGTAGTAATACTCAAGAACAATGAGCACTGCAGACAGAGAAACCCACAATAAGTACATAGTATTATTAGCAGACCTTGTATAGTATTTAAAGAAGCTTGCCCTTGCTGGTAATCTCCAGCTTTGAGCTAAAGTTTATTCCATCTCATTCTACTCTTAAGCTAGTCACACAAAGCCTTGAAGCACAGGGAGTCAACATTAGTATATATAGTGAACTCTAATAGAAGGCTCAAATGTGAAGCTATGTTAGTTTATCACATGCTTGTTGATCATATGTGGCTTGAGCCTAACAATTAGTGCAAAGCTTCACCTTCTCTTTCTCAAGCCCAATTGTGCTGAGAAACTGAATGCTACTAGCAACCACCACTGACTTCAATTATGACTTCTTTGAATTGATAGCTTCTATCATTGGAACGCTACTAGAGCTTCTTGCCATCACCACTCTTTGCTGCAGATGACAGTCAGTAACCATTTAGATAGTCAGGCACTATCAGGCATTCCAACAGATCCACACCATCCTCCAAAATATAACCTCTGATCTACTCTTCCATGACATCCCCATCTCTGTCAGAATATCCTTTCAGCTACAAGAGTGACCCTTATCAGAAGCCAGACATAGCAACCCACATTCAGAGAGCCTTCAGAAAGAAGAGGAACCCTGATACCCTCCTTAATAATCCAGCAGAGACTACAACCCTGCTTTTGCAGGATTTCAGAACCCTTAGACAATAAACATATTATGATTTTTCTTTCTTTTCCTTGGATTAACCCCTATTTATGCTTAGTCAGGGTGCTAGGACAAGTGCTTGAGACCATAGGATAAGACTTGGTCATCACAACTAGCTAAGTCCATCATTGTCTTTTGTTGTAACAATATTGCCTGATAATATACAATCATTCTTTTATGTATGATAACAATGCTTAAGGATAATGAGCACTAAGACAGAGATATGCACAATAAGTATGTAGTATTATTAGCAGGATTTGTATAGTATTTAAGAAGCTTGCTCTTGCTGATAAAAACCTCAGCTTTGAGCTAAAGTTTATTTTATACCATTCTCTCTTGAGCTAATCCTTCTGGTCTTATGACACATCAATCAGACTATGTATCAATGAACTTGGCTGATCCCTTAAAGTGTAAAGGGACATCCATTTATCATGTGTATCTGTTCACATGATGCTTGAGTTTAACAATTAGCTTGAAGCTTTTTCTTCCCTTTCCTTATGCCTATTAGTGTGGAGAAAACCAAATGCCCTCTATCAACCCCTCAGACCTGAATTTTGATC